TACCAGGTAGATTTCCATAAGCATTGAAAAGACCCTCTCCTTTATTGTGGTCTTCCAAATTTCCTTTGGGGAAGGCAGCTGGAAGAGGTTCTCAGATAACGACTCTTGTGTATGGGCAGGTTCATATTGAGAGAGGCAGTCCATCCAGTATTTTTCAATATTCTCAAACTGTGTAAGGCTTTATAGGTCAAAAACAAAAAATTGAATTGAGCATAGAAACCTACAAGCAGCCAGTGCAGGTGGTCCAGGATTGGTTCAGACCTCCTGATACTTGCTATCAATCTGACCACTGAATTTTGCGCTAATTGCACGTTCCAAACAGTCTTTGGGGCTGCCCTCTAACTTGGAAGTTATCAAAGCATAGACTAGTGAAGCCAGGTTATCCTACTCCAAAGAAAGGCAGAGCTAGGCCAACAAGAGAAGCTGGTAGACATTCCATGCAGCTGATGCCACCTGAGCTTCTTGAGACCAAAAATGTCTCCAGGAGAACTGCCAATTTCCAAACCTGTTTCTTGAGTGGGAGCACTACCCCATCCAGAATGAACACCCTTCATCCCGTCAGAAGACGTGCCCACTGAAGGGTGGCTGCACTCTTGGTCTTGACAGTTTCTTAGCCTGAAGTGCAACCAGTCATTGATCTAGCACATTCACAGCCTCACTTGAGGATAAGGAAAAGCAGAGGTTTGCATTAGCAGCATCTTAATGAATAGCACTACAAAATCCCTGATAAGGCCACTCAACAGCTTCATATAGATGTTAAGTAGCATGGGGAACAGGCAGAATCAATCCTTCTGAAGCCCCACACTGGAGAATTCATGGGCCAAGCAATATCCCCCATGAACCACCTCCCCCAGTAGCTTCATGTAGATGCTAGAAAGCACAGAGACAAAACATAGTCTGCTCAAAAGTCCCTGAGCATCAAGCCCCTCTAGGAAAGACCAGATCCACTAAAACATAGTGCTCCTGAAATATGATAGTGTTGTTATGGATATGTATTGCAGCTACATGCAGACATAAGATATTTATTTTTAAAATAAAATAGAAGTAATGTTTTAGACAGCACTACATAATGAAAAATATCCAATAATTTAGTATAGCTAGATCTAGCTAAGAGAAATACAGTTTATTTATTAGTATTGTATGAAATAATTCCTGTCAACCAAGGTTTTAAATAATGTTTCCTTGGAAATTTGTGTGGCCCTAAAATTGTACAGTTTGTGCTTAATCTGAACAATTTTGGCCTTTGTTTGAAGAATTGTTGCATATACTCCATCTCTTAACATAATAAATATATATATATACACAGTCAAAGACAATGAATAAATGTTTTTGTGTTTTTATGAAAAGGTAAAGCTAACAAACAGCTTTTTATCTTTCTTTGCAAGCATGCTTGTTGTGTCTGTGGTGTTTCCTTTGATAAGGAACCATTTCCTTTTTTTACCTGATGAATAGAAATAGGGAGAAAAATGAAATTAAAGGCATCAGTCATACTTGCATTTTCCAGGGGCTCAAATTAAGAGACCAGAGGGAATGCAAGAATACAGAATAGAACCTCTCTTGTAGTATAGAGAAATGCAGGAATATAGAATAGACCCCTCTTGTAGCATATGATCTATCCCATCATTTCTAACTCTAAGCCACAGTTTGGCCCTGTGGCATTAGTACAAGTAATATGTGCTGGGGTTTGCTTAGTCTCACTGTAATGAAGTCACAATGCCAATTCAAATGATATTACTGATTTTCTCCTCTAGCTGTAGCTGAGCTATCAGGAGGTGTAGAACTCCATCTGATGCATGTTTAGATGCAAAAAAGCTTGAAAGCTTAAAACCATTAAGCTGGCTGTGGAATGCTGGAAGGCTTTTCCCCCCTGCCTAATGATGCACAGGAGTGTGCCTGCCTCTTCGACACAGATTCATCCCCAAGGTTCATGTGATCATGAACACCCAGGCTCATAAACAGGAGGGGGCATGTTCTGAGAAATCTTGGCAATTTTTATATTCAGATGATACAAACTGTGGATTAAACACAGCAGTCATTTAGACATGAGGAGGAAAACCCAGAAAGTTGTTCTTTTTAGATCCACCACTACCCCTGGAATATGAGGAGCTGGAACATGTTTGAATTCAGGTTAATGAGAACATGCAGTTCCAGATTCTGGTTTGTTCACTAACTAGTCCCTCATCAAACCAGAGTTTCCCAGAGTTCAGGAAACCATGGCTAGTTTAAAAGCAGAAGAAAATCCAATCTTCTTTGTAGATGTGAAAGAGCAAGGTAGGGAGAAGGAACACAAGAGCCCAAGGCTTGCTGTACCTTATTCGAATAGCATGTGACATGTCCAAACCGGACCTTTAAGTTTTTATTTGATGGCTATGTCCATTGATAAAATGTAAAAAGAAGATCCTTCTTGCAGAAGGAGTGCTGGATTTTGCAAGTGAAACCAGATATTTTTTTCAACCTCTGCAATAGAAAAATTTGGGATATTGCTAGGCCAAATGTTGACATTTAAATAATTTTTGATATTTATGTATATACACAGAGAGACTCTCCAAATGGGGGTGAGGGGAAGGACTCTGACCTAGGGTGCAGTGAAAAGAAAGGGCACCCCTATAAGGAATATTCAACTGAACCTGGTGAAGTCTTAAAAACAATGCTTTGATGGTTTCACAAACATGTGTTACTTGTTTTTGTATAGCAGTTTCTGGAGTTCTGAACTTGATTTACTTAAAACAATGTGAACAGCTGTGCAGCATGAAAACGTGATTAGCTGAAACATAGAATTAGGATTCAGCACCTCAAAGGGACTGACAGCTGGTCTCCCACCATCTCCAACCCACCACCCTACCAAGGACAGAGTAGAATCCCCATCCTCTCAGGAACACCTCTAAGTGGTTTCCCTGACCTTTGTCTTTCCTGCCTTTAGTCACAGTTTCATGCCTCTGTACTGAATCAGGTTAGACCACATGTTGCTTGATGCAGCATGGCTCTTAAGCAGCCCGCATGAGTTGTTACAAAGATAAAAGCCTGGCTGTAGAAACCTGAATTAATTTTTTTCGACCTTTCTCTCCCAAGAGTCCATCCCCATAAGTAAAAGGATATGATTCATCTGCCTCTCCACTTATAAGAAAACCATCTGGCATTTTTTTCTGCATTTGAATGACTCATAACAAATGTAAATTAGAAATTAAATTGCTTCCTTCCATTCTTTTTTGACCCTCCTCCAAACTGGTTTTGACTGAATACAGGCCAAAATCTCTGAGTAGTATTGAGGCAAGGCCAAGCCAAGATGGACAAGGGAGACAGAAGAAAAACAACAGCATTTCAACAGAAACGAGGCTGCATCCTCCAGTGGCCGAGATGGCAGGGCATGGGTGTGCAGGTCAGGGGCCGTGGTCACGTGTGGTCACCACTGGCCCCACACATCCCTCACCACCCACACTGTGCAGTTAAAATTATCAGCAGCAAAGCTGGCCTTTTGAAGCCAATACAAAGTTTTAGTACTACGGAGCATTAAATGGTCCACTTTTAGTTTGTTGTGAAGCTAAATTGACCAGTAGCATAAAGCCATTCAGAGATGAAGCTTAGCTACAGAATGAGCTAAATTTGACCTGCTTTGTGTGCTGTAGTGTTTGCCAGCAAATTTCAGCTGCAAAACTATCAATGTTGCGGGGGACAACCTGCAGAGTGCGAGGTGTCCCTGGGAGTGAGGCCCATAGGTAGACAGGTCTATGGGGATTACCTGGCCCTTGGAACACTTGAGGTTGCCTAGCCATGTGCTAGAAAAAACCATCAGAGTGTCACTGACTTTCAAATGTTTTAGCCACTGACATAAAATTCTGAGGGATACTTGTGTAATAGATGTCCCTTAGTGAGGTCTGTAAGGACAAACTTGCTCATGCTCCATGTCCTGTACCATCAGGGCTGTGACTGGCAGTCACATGGAACAGGGCCTTCTCTGTGGCAGCACCTCGGTTGTAAAACTACCTTTCCCTAGGATTTCATGGTCTTTCCTGGATTTATGTAATTGACGGGTTTCCTGTTCCTGTGTTATCATGTATTATTAATTATTTTCATGGTTTCTGATTGGCTAGCATGGTGATGATGTCACCATGTGGTCAAACAATAGGTCACTCCAATATTTATCATGCTGTCACACCCCCCCCCCCCCCGTTTGGGGCATTTGGGGAAAGTATGATATTGCCACAATTGTGAAGCAATTGCAGTGGCTCATGGAGCCCGGGCTAAGTGTCTCACTTGCAGGCACCTATCAGATTGGAGCTGAGAGTCATGGTGAGGAAGAGAGTTGAGACAGAGATCCAAGGGTCAGGGAACCTTGCAATTGGCCATGCAAATGCCAAACTAGGCAAAGAGCCTTCAGAGCATGTTTGCCTTAAGAAGACCCAAGGGCCATTCCAAGTGGGCAGGGCTAGTCCAATACATGGAAATCCTTTACTGCCGAGGAAGATATTCCCTGCTGGCTCACCATTCCTGTCAGCTGTACATAAACTTACCTTCCTATTGCTCATGTCACATGGGCAGGTCTGCTACACAGATTGGGATGCTTCAGGTATAACAGCCAATGAGGGCCAAGCTGCAAGTCTGCATTCTTCCTTCTTCCCACTGGATGGCCACCAGTGGGAGACTTCCAGTTCAGTCAAGCCACAGATTGCCATTACATCTGAACCAACAAACTATAGCTTGTAGCTGCCATCAGAACCAGAATTAATAAAGCCCTTAAAACTATATCCTCCATTCTGGTTTGGAGAATAAGTACCAAGCATAGTCTCTGAATCGGATATAACAGAAGCCGGAATATATAAGCCCAAAGACAGTCAAATTACATTATACACGTGAACCTGGTCATTCAGTCTTAATCCCATTATGATATAGGTTTGCATGAGACAGTCCTAATTGTATGTCTTTTAAGATACTGCTGATATTAAATTCTTTATGCTGGCATGATAATTTTTCTGCAATCCTGACCTGTCACCTACTTTTTCCAGGATGTGGTGAGGAACTTTCAGGAACGTCTGGATCTTTCCATAGCCCTGGCTATCCAAGCAAGTACCCACATAACAGGGAATGTCACTGGTACATCCATACAGCTCCAGGGAGCAGCATTCAACTCACCATTGTGGAATTTGACATCGAATACCATACGAGTTGCAACTATGATGTTTTGGAGGTAGGCCATTTTGTTTTGACAGTAACCTAGGTATGCACAAGTGTTTTGGACTACAACTTCCAGAAGTCCCTGCCAGCATAGCTAATGCTCAAAAATGCTGGAAGCTGAAGCCAAAAATATCCAGAGACTTACTTTTTTCCTATCCTTGCTCTAAAATATATCTATAGATATTCTGTAATACAAAATATTGTGAATGTCTTCTTCTGGATGCCCAGAATGCAACTAGTTTTAAATAAGCAGAAAAAACTATTGGTATTTATTATGTGTGTATCATGGTGACACCATGCATTATTAGCTTTATTATGCAAGCCACTTTGGAAGAACTTTTGTTTTCAAAAGTGGCATATACGCTTGAGTATAAATAAATATATGAATATTGTGTGCGCTATCCTGTTGTGCCTGGGTTGCAGTGGGAGTGATGACTAGCGCAATGGGAATTTTGCAGGTCCAAAAATAATTCAAAATGAGTGGAACCGCTCCTTTCTGGGATGGTTCGGGGTACCCCAGAAAAAAGCATTGCTGCTCATTGGCAGGAATATTTTTACAGCTGTGAAATCCTCTTTGTGTCAGCAGTCACTTCCTTTGACTCAGAAAGCTCTGTGGGAGCCCAGGATATAACTCTATATCTGTTTTCTGCTTTTAACCAAACCCTAGCTTAGTCCTTCACATTTAATTTCAGCCAATGCAATAAATTTGTTATTTTTCGGGCTGTGTCTGTAGATTGAGCTATCCAGTTTATAGATCCGACTGTAGATTTATGCCTATTCTAGAATGCTTACAGTTTAAAAATAAGCCTCTCTGAAATATTAGAGAGTAAATATGTTGGTAGATCGTCACTGTAGGAGCTCTGCAAAACTTGCAGGCTCACAATTTTTTTTCACCTACAAAAATGGTTCAATGAAAAGGTTCCAACTTACGTTTCTTGGGAAACCTGTTCCATGCCAAATTGATTTGGCCAAGCCAAAGCAGGGTTTGGGACCATGTTCTTCCATTGGAAAAGGAAGACCTAACACCGTACACAATGTCATTAGTGCCAGGCAGTCCTCAATGGAGGGAGCATCCCTGAACGGTGGGCCCATCACTGAGAGAACCTTTTTCGTGTTGTCCTCCAACCCCTTGGCGGAAGCGCTCTGAGGCTGGCTTGAGATATCGATCCCACTGTATGGGTAGGCACCTACTGGCAGGGGCACACCGACAGGTATTAGCTCCCGTTTCTGTAGAACAGCGATCACTAAAACACACGAGAGGCTTAGACAAGCACATGTTCTGGTATACACACTCATGTTTTTTAGTGATTGCTGTTCTACAGAAACGGGAGCTAATACCTGTTGCAACTGCATCTGGGACATTTTTTTTTTTTTGATTTGGCAAGAGGCTTAAAAACCAGTGAAAACATACTGGCAATTCTTGCTTTTAAGAATTCATGTTCTTGCTATTCACTAGAAGTCACATGTGCTTGCATTATTTGTGAAAACTGATCAGTTTAAAGTTGCCCCAATCTTAGAGGAAACAGAGGATCCTAGTTAACTATCATCAGAGGGTTTATTGTAACTCTCTCTCTCCCCTTCCCCCCTGTGGTCTCGCAGAAGCATTCTAGCACATCATAGCACAATGAAACTACTGTTTTCTGAAACTTTAAACAGAATTCTGAAAGCCCACAAGCTATTTTACTGTAGCCTCTTTTAAAAGAAAAATCATTCCAGCGTGTTTTTGTGGGAATATTTCAAAACCTTAAATTTAATGAAATCCACATTTATGGCACAGTAGGGCTGGATGAGTGGGGAGCATGAGCCCTCCCTGCCAGAGCTGGTCTGTGCCACCTCATCCTCTCTGTCCCTAGGACCCTTCATTTTCTTCCTCTTCTGCCTCCCACTTTCAAGGCCCACGTCACTACTGTGACCTCTCCGGCCTTCTGTCTGTTCACCTTTCCCATTCCTGCAATGCCCAACTGTACTCCTGTCTGTGCCATTTCCCTCTCCAATCATGCCACCATTATGCCATGGCGGGACAGGAGGAAGAATTCTGGACCATATTTTTCAACCAGCCCCTGGTAGATCCAGGTAGTGGTGCCTCGTATTTTGCTGCTTAGCATCTTTACGGAACAGGACTTTGGATGCATTTTGAAATACCCAACAGATAATTGGTTGAAATTCTTGTTGGAGTGGTGTCATTGTCTGCATCCTCCTCCCTAAGGTGGTGCTGGGAAATATGTAGTAAAAATTAGAAGTCTTCACTTACTATCACAGGCAAGTAAAATCAACAGCAACGGTAATCCAGGAAATGAAAAAATTACAGATTAAAGTAGATTGGCAATGATACTTAATCACTAAAGAAAATTGAGGTGACCTGTCTAGACAGCTTAGAGACAAAAGAGCAGGAGACCAGATATGGGGAATCTAGGGACCACAGGAGACACTGGAATGTCCTTTGAGGGACCATAGGAGACACTGGAAGGTGCTTTGAGGAGAGACTACAGAACACTCAAAGAAAGACGCATTAGACACATCCAGGTGATGCGCAAGGGGAAGGACTAAAAGACACGTATCATGGTCACAGTGTATGACATGGAGTTTGAGGTCTTTGCTGTCATTTAAACACTGGCATTTCCACCTGTTCTCCTTGCTATAACAGCAGGGTAATTTCCTCGCACTTTGAGTACAAGATGAGAGCCATTTTGGCTAATGGGCAGGATAGAAATCTGATAAATAACTAATACATAATACAAGAACACTCCATAAATAGCTTCCAAAGTGCTATGCTATTACAAGGACAGTCACAATTCATAGGATCAGCACTGATGAATGGGCATAATGCTTGCATCAGTCCTAGAACATGGACTGAAGGTAAATGGGGCATCCACTTTATTAAAGCCAGCAGCTCTGGACCTGGTTAGTGCTTGCTGCTTCAGAGCCGCATGTAGCCTTCATGATGAAGCAAGGCGTGTGGTCTTTTTGGGGTGGGAAGTGGGCAAACAAGCGTATAAACACACTGTAAACCTGAGTGTTTCATGTTGTAAAGGGTATTTGCATGTGTCCTCACATTGTGCTTTGGGCAGCATCATGGTCAAAGATCCAGGGTTGGATTTAAAAAGGCAGCCTGGATGGGGAGCAGAGGCAGGATTCCTACAAAAGCTGTGATCAATATCATGCTGCCTTAGATGAGTTGGGCCACTGGACCACTTAGCCTGGTATTAGCCACTTAATCCCAACATGGAGCCCTCTGGATGTGTGGGAATGCAAGTTCCATTATGGGAATTATGGGCATTACAGTCCAACCTATCTGGATGGCTTCAGGTTGGGGAGGCTGATCCACTCTAGCAGGAGCTTTTATTGATCTCTAGACAAAGTTTTCCCCATCCATTGTTATATGACTGCTTAACTGGAGATTGCAGGGATTGACCTTCTGCATACAATGCATATCTACCACTAAGCAATGGCTGTTCCCCAGAGAAGATCCTCTGTGCTATATTTTGAAGGGTGATACCGGATGTTCCAGATCTCATAGACACTTCTCCCCTATGAGGAGTGGCTATGACAAATGGGACTGTTCAACCTAGAAAAAGGGTGAGGAAAAATATGATAAAGGTGTTTAAAATAATGCACAGTGTAGAGAAGGAGAGATGTTTCTCCCTTTCCCAAAACACTCAAACCCAGGTCATCCCATGAAGCTTATTGGTGGGAGGTTTAGGACAGATAAAAGGAAGCACCTCATCACACAACTTATAGTTAAACTATGGAATTTCTGCCACAAGAAGTGGTGATGTCCACCAGTCTGGGTGGATTGAAAAAGGGATTGGACAGATTCATGGGGGAGTGGATACTAGCCTTGCTGCCTAGGTGTTACCTTCTTCACCAGTGGTAGATGGCTGCATATACCAATTGCTGAGGAGCTTGGGCAACAGAAGGTCTTGCACCCATCCTGTCGAGGGATCCTGTGGGCAGCTGATTTGCTACCATGCATGCAGAGTGCTGGACTAGGTAGACCTTTGGTCTGAAAAGCATGGTTTTTCTTAGGTTCTTATGAAATAGTGGCAGAAGAAGCCATGGCAAATTGGGAACACCAGCACAGTAGGTTGGGACATGGTGAGAACCTGACTCACCCGTGGACCACTTTGAGATACTGTAGTTTTGAGAAGACAAGAAAAGTCATAGCGACAGGTTCTGTTGCAAATGCTTGAAGAGTTGACATCATTCCAGATACCCAGTGGGTCCTATGAGGCTGCAGTTCACACTTCCATTTCCCCATATAAAAATTATGGAACTCAAGCATCCTCTGCTGGTTGATCTGCCAGTCTGAAAGGCCACATAAGTTTTTGAACCATGTCAACAGCCAGAGAAAACTAGATTTGTCCACTGCAAGATCGGACCTCCCGCACCAATGAACACTCATCCTCTTCCTCTTAATGTTGACCCCAACCGCCATGTGGAATCACCCATATCTATCTTAATTCTCTTGCTATGATGACCTTTTCAAACAGCTGTCCATTTCCCAATTTCCAGTGCTGCAATATGAAGATGACACAGCAGATTTCTAATGACAGCCCTCCCTTATTTCTCTCTGTTCCTGCCTCCTACCAAAGCATGCTTGTGAACAAAATAATCTGCTGTTCCCTTCTCCCAGAGCCTCTCTTTTTCTTTGAGAGAGGAGTCCTCCCTATGTTTGCTGAAATCTATGCCACGAGGATAGGCCAGCCACAGAAAATGGTCTTTCCATTGCTCATAACATTGGAATGTTGGCTTCCAATATGCCAGTAAATGGAGCTAACAGAGCAGAAGCAAATGGCAAAAAGCAGAATAAAATTTGTGCTGCACCCTGTACAATCTGTTGGAAGCAAGTTCTCTGTCTCCGTTGTGTGTTCCAAATGAACAGCATTGTTTCTCTTCTTTTGGGGCACATGGTACGTCAGCACAGACCACACCCTGACATTTTTTCTAGACTTCCCTTGCCTGTTCTCTTTTTTAATAGATGGATTCATGTGGTAACAATTGGCTTTTTCCTTTATAACCCAAAAGTCACTTTTAAAAATATATTTTTGTCTGTCATGGAAACAGTTTGGCTTGTTTTTGCTCCAACCTTTCTCTAAGCATCTGATTAGCTGAACTGGCATACAGAGAAAAGGAAAACCACTCCTCAGTTGCTTGGCTCTTAAAATACCTCTGATTTTGAAACTGTACAAAAGGCAATTGTGAAACTGGTTGGCAATAGGAAAGGGCATTGAACAAATTACGGGCCAAATTAGATGTGACGAGAGATGCACAAATCCTTCTCCACCGTTAAAACTTTTTTGCAAGTAGCCATCGGCATGTGGGCAGTTGGAGACAAGCTGGATTGGGACCAGAGGGCTTTAACCCTTTCTCCCAGGGCAGATTTCCAGATACAAATAATCATTTTGCTATTTGCCCTGGAAGGAAGACGATAGCTGCAGATGTTGATCGCCCTGCCCCTTTCCTTTGTGTATTTCCACAATATGTTTTCTCACTTTCCTCTTCTCTTTTTGACTTGCAGCTTCATAAAATGCAGTGAGGAAGCTTTTGTGGTCTGAGCAATGAATTGGTTCTTGGCAAGCACGTTGGAGGCTGCGAACCAGCAGTGGATGGGGCCCCACTCCAGAGCAGCAGGGGCCATTCTCCCCTTCCCTCCAAGCAGACCCATTCAGTGGCTTTCCAACGAAAAGCATTTATTATGTTAGTGCTAGCCAGCCAGCTTGACTTTAAAGAGCAAAAAAAGTATAGCAGAAGTCAGTAGCAAAAGAAGCAAGCAATGTTAGCATACTGACCTTTAGGGAAATGTGGCTAAATGGTTGATTCTAAACTGAACACCTACAAATTGAAATGACCAAACTGTGCCTTCAACACAGAGGCCCGGCTCTTGGAGCCTCTGATGCTGGCTTGCCTCCTTTATCTGTGAACCTGCTCTGGGATTGATGATGTCACATCCTTCAGCTCTAAGCTTCTGTGCAGCATTTGAATCCAAGCTATTCTCAGCAACTGCCAGCTTATCTTGGAGTTGAATGGCCTTGGCATTTCAGCTGCAGATCCTCCTCTTCCAACTCAGAAACTCTTGCAACATCCCTTGAAGGCTCTTGGGCAGGAAGAATGGGCCCCATCTCTACACTGGCTTCTACTGGCATGCCTAGGCCCCATTTGCTCACCCCCCCGCGGTCATGCACTGCACGTGCGCATGCACACACCTCCCCTCCCCAACTGAGGTCAGCCTTGCCAGGAGCCGTGTCCCTCCGTGCCAGGGAAGCGTTTTGGAAAGCCTGATCACTGAGTAGGTGGAGTGCTTTGCAGGGAGGCAAGCAGAGGGGCAGTGATCCTCCCAGAATGACTCCCTCCCACTGTAATTAGGCTCTTTTAAGATTAAAATGTGGCAGAGGATGATTTTTAAAGGGTGATTCAGGGTGGAATGGCCCCTCTTTCCCCATCAGGGACCCCCTCTAAAAATGCTCCTGCTCATCCATAGAATTGGTATGTACGCAGGTCATGCTTTGTGAATGGCCTGACCAGCAAGAGGATCCTCCTGTGGGTCACATCTGGAGGATCCCCACCCCTGCTTTAAAATACTAGAGTTGGGTGGCTCTTTTATACTATGGTATGCATTTGTGGTGAGGGGATTGGATCCGCCAAAGCGGCATGAACAGGCGGCCATACCCACACCTGTAGCCCTGCCTGCCAGCTCAAACCTGGTCATGGAGGCTGGTGGACCTCATGGAATGACACGGGATGGAGCAAGGAGTGCTCAGCTGGACGGGGAATGGGAAGAATTCCATATGTTGAGCTTCAGCCACTGACTCAGGCTCCTGGAAGCTTTTAGTAAGAAAGCAAGCTCGTTAACAGGGTTGAAGAAGGCTTTTTAGCAGGGTTCTTCATGCAGGCCTACAGAGGGTTTCAGCTTGCCGGTGGTGCCTCTATAGCTTGGTGGTTTTCTGTGTTTGTGCAGTTCCCCCATCCCTCAAATTCTAAAAAATGAAAATGTTTCTCCTAAGGTATAGTTTCTGGGAATAAACTTTTAGTACTTTTGACCCCATCTTTTCTGCCTTCAGCCCAGCCAGCTGCTGGAAGACCCCCCCCCCCCGCCACCCCTGGGCAGAGGATGAACCCCCTAAATTCTAATGCAGAATTTAGTTGTTCCTCAGGTTGAAAGACATTGAGTGCCATTGGCTTGAACATCTCCGTGTGTGGGATGCTAAACAATGACTGCACATGTAACACTAAACCATGGCTTAGCACTACATACCTGAACAAGCAAGAGCAAACCCTTGGGCTTGTGTGCTGCCTTGTAGCATCTCCCCCTCCCACAGGATGAGAAGGAATAAACCAGTTGTCCCAGTCTGTTGTCCCAGACTGATTGAAACCAGTCTGTTCAATTCCTGGCTTCTCATTCCATGTATAAAGTCAGCCTGGGCTGGAAGGACACAAACACACCTTCTATATTCTTAACTGTGATCTCATTTCAACAGCAGTTCTGCTCATTTTTATATACCCAGAACAACTTTCAAAACTGGTAGAACAGAGAAGCAATAAGAAATCCAGATCACATGCTCTTTCTCCAGAGACCAAAATGCCAGTACCACTACTGCAGATGAAGGCAAATATGCAGGAAACCCAGAGAAAAATATCCTCCACTTTCTGTACATATTTGAGAATGGGGGTTGGGAAGGAAATCACAGTCCAATGCCTGTTTTTTAAAATATTCTGTGTGAATCAAATCCATGGAATTTGAAGGCCTGCACTGTTTTTTCCACTATTTCCCTTGGGAAAATGTGGGGATACTATTTCTCCTAATCCGGAAAGGAAGTAGATGGCAGGGTGGGGCATCTGAACACAGTAATTACATTCAAATACAGTGAATCAAAATATTTTTTCTGATGTTATCATTTTTAAAGTTTGATAGGACTTTTTCCTGTTGCAAACATTTGGCCATAAACCTTTGCTAAGAGGATGGGAAAAATCTCTTTGGGCATTAAATGTGCACATTACCATGTAATTGATTTATCTGAAGTATTTTATCCCACAACTCCTCAGACAAAAATCTTCCCAAAGTGGCTGACATCCAGTCACTGAAACAAGACCGTCCCTGACCTCGGTCTTACGATCGAACAGGACTCAGTGCATATGGAAAAAAGGGGATAGGAAGGGAACAAGGAAAGAATACAGTGTAGGATAAAATGTATGCAATGGTTCTCAGCTGATTAGCAAATATCAATCCTTGGGGTATTTTGCAAATTATTAAAGGGTCATTAAATTTTTATATGCAGATCTAGATTTTTCCTAGTTTTGTATGTGCATTTTATCAAAATTCTGTGTAAGAGTCTCTGCTTAAAAACAAGCAAGCAAACAAGCAAGCAAGAGCACCCACAGGCATGCTGTGACAGGATAGTTCGATGGACAGAGTCAAAGAGCGGCATAGTGTGGGACCCAGGGGCTCTGGGTTCTAGTTCCCACTCGGCCAAGGAGCTCACTGGGTGTCTTTGAGACCATCTCAGATGTTCAGCCCAACCTACCTCACAGGGCTGCTGTTGTGAGGATAAGTTTGAGAGGAGGAGGAGAATGATTTAAGCCTCCTTGAATTCCTCCAAAAGAAAAAGGGCAGAATATAAATAGAATGTCTAAATAAGTGGGTGTGAGTATCTTCTGGAAGTGTGATAAACTCTGAAAATCCTAATGTTTTTCTGAATCAGATACAAAAATTTTCAGATCCAAATACTGCAGTTAGAATAATCCAGGATCCTTAGCACTAAAAGTTTCATTTTTCTGCCGTAGGACAGGCCAGCATAACATGAGACCTAGAGGCTGACTACAAACCCCCCTAGTTGTGGATCTCTAGAAGTGTTATTATATTTATATATATGTTATTTTGCCGCTGATTCTTTATCTCAGCTTTGTCCAAGTCCATAAAAAAAGAGTGTGAGAGGCTGCTTGTGCAATCCTATACATTTGGATGGGAGAGGCTGCGGCTCAGTGGTAAAGCAGCTGTTTGCATGCAGATGGTCCAGTATTTGGCTGGAGTTGGGAAAAGTACAGGAATGGGCAACTGGAATGGCCAAAAGGCTGGAATGGGGCTCCATGAAAAAGATTCCAATCTTTGGGACTGTCTAGCAGGGAAATTTGATGGAGGCTTACAAACTGAGGCATGGTGTGGAGGAGGTGGATAGGGAGGCTTCACTTCCACAAGTAGTGATGGCCACTGATTTAGATAGCTTTATATGGAATGCACTCCCCAGAGAGGTCCGCCTGGTGCTGTCGTTATTTGTTCTTCGGCGCCAGGCTAAGACCTTTTTATTTAAGGAATATTTTAATAATGTTTAATATTACTGTAGGTTTTAATTTGCAGCCAGAATGAATCAGGTTTTTAATTTGTATAATCTGTATTTTTCATATTATATTTATTTATTTATGTAAGCTGTCCCGAGGCGTTACGCGATGGGATGGCATACAAAAACTCTAAATAAATAAATAAAGGGATTGGAAAAATCATGGAAGCCAAGGCTATCAATGGCTACTAGTTCCAACAATTCTGTGCTGTCCCCAGTATCAGAAGCAGTATGCCTATGTAGATCAGTTACAGGAGGACACGAGTGGGAGGGCCTGTTGAACTCAAGTCCTTCTGGGGTCCCTTGAACAGCTGGTGTGTCACTGTGTGAGCACACTGCTAGACTAGATGGACCCATGGTCTGATCTTACGTGACTCTTCTTGCATTCTTATTTATCTGAACTTCAGATTGTTTTCCCTTTTGGATTGCCAATTAAGTTTTAAATATGAGTCTGTATTGTACTTGGCACTTAATTGTAGCCCTTCTGTTTGTTTTCTGAGCACTGTTCCTCTTGCTTTTTCTTCTCTCTCTAGATCTATGGTGGCCCTGACTTCTCTTCTCCCAGGCTGGCTCAGCTCTGTGCCCCACGATCGCCACAGAATCCTTTGCACATCTCAAGCACTGGAAATATGATTGCGATCCGGTTCAAAACAGACAGAACTCTGCATGGAAAGGGCTTCAATGCTACTTGGCAGGAAATAGCTGGTGGTGAGAGTGATTTGGTATTTGCACCCATACCAGCACCATAGATGAATGAGAGCACTCCTGCATCCACTCCCCACCCAAAATTATTGTGATCTTCCAGCACTCCTTTTACCTTCACTGAATTAATAGCACATTGGCCTCTGCAGGGTTAGCCCAAGCTTCCTTGTTTATTTGTTCAAAGCCTTAGTCACGATCAGTGAAACCAAAGTCATGCTAGAATGGCAGCAAGAAGATGCCCTGGGAATGCTGGAATGCACATGGATTGATTTCTGCATGCAGCTTTTTTTTTTTTTTTAGCTCCAAGAGCAACTTTGTGAGGTTGAAAGGGATCTTGGAGGTCATCCGGTACAATTCCTGCACTCAATGGAACACATTACATTTCAACATCAAATTCACAAAACATGCTGCTTATTGGCCAGCATGGTTTAAAGAGAGTCTATAGATATTTACTGTCTTATTGGGGTAAATATTTGTTTGAAAATGCTATGATTAAGCAGAGCTTGATTGCTGAAGTGTTCTGAGTTATGGGGTTTTTTGGAGGGTTAGGTTGGCCACTTACTGCTAAAAACAAAAAAGAACTGCATCACCAAAAAAGGAGACAAAAGAGGACACCAAGTTGTATAAATATGCAAATTTATATGCACTGGTGCAAATGTCGAAATACGTATAATTTTGATGGAAATACAATTAATCCCATCATAGCTCAGAAGACCTGCTAGGCCACCTGTGTACCTGTTCAGTCGGCTGTCCAGGGGCACATCGTGGACTGGCAACTTCAGAGCCTCTTCCTGCTTGTTCTTTGACTTTAAGACAGATTTTAAGCCAGACTAGACAGACCTTCAAATAGAGGATGCCTTCTGAAACAGGATTGCCCTAAAATAGAGGACTGCCCTAAGAGGGACACCTGAGCCCCTTGGAAGGTTAAAGCAGAAGCTGGTGTGGTGCAGTGATTAGCATGCTAGTCCCTACTCAATTATGATACTCACTAGGACCAGTTACTAATTCTCAGCTTAACCTAGCTCACAAGGTCCATGTGAGGATATAGAGAGAGGAGGATGACCATCTAAGACCGCCTGTGTCCTTGCAAGAGGGAAAAGTTGGAATTTTGAAGCTTAGTATCAAGTTTTAGTGATAAAGATGGTGGACTCAGAATGAATATCACTGTTGCTCCTATTGAACATCACTGCTTCCTGCATCAAAGAGTTTGGGCATTCTTGTTCATCTTAGTCTGCTAGAGCATTCTCGTTCATCTTTGCCTTGAACGGGGATACATCTCTGGGAGATCTAGAGCCAATCTCCCCCTTCCTACCTCCATCCCTCTCATCTAAACTATTAGCCTTCTGGCTATTGGGTGGTATAAAAATGTAATAAATTTACATTTTAAGCTACCTTATAATTTTGTTGTGTGAATAAAATGGTATAATTCATTTAGGCAGCTCTGAAATCTTTGGGAGAAGAAAAAGATGGAAATAGAAGATACCACTTTAACAGCTGTGTTTACTAATACAACTTATCCCCTCCTTTTCATGATAAATACATGAATAAATGAAAGGCACCTGTTGGGGAAGGCCTTTGGCTGATGGGAGGAGGGGGGATTATAACTATCCGAATATACATTAAGCAAACAAAGAGCTGCAGTCCTTTGCCCTCTTGTGGAGTCTGCTGGCCAGTCTCTGCCCCTCCTTCAGTTCACAGTGCTACTGACACACATACATGCCAGGGATTCCACTTCCAGGCAGAAGGCTCCTTGCACTAACACTTGTAAGGCATCGTGCTGCAGTCCCACCTCTCTTGCCTTAATGGATCTTTTTCCAGTAAGGAAAGTGATGGAAGAAGTGACAGGAAACACTGGAGGGTGTGGATGGAAGACTATGATGTCCAGATGTCCCATCAATTTCCATAAGTAAGGCAGGGTGATGGGGCAGAAGGAACCCCATCCGGGTGGTTAAGCAGGCTATGGAAAACCGAAAACTGATTTTCACCACTTTACTGTAAGTGCATGGGAGGGAGTTAATCTGGATTGGGACCATGGACTGTGGTAGGGGAGGTTTGACCATTTCTTCAGCTACCTGCCTTTTTCAAAATCACCCCCTCTCTACCACAGAGACTGGAATAAAAAGGACGTCATTGGTGCCATTATGTGTCAGCCCAGGTCCCCACACTAACAAACAGCATTTGTCTCTGGAAATAAAAGTTTACAGATACTTTGCAACTTGTTGCATGACTGTTCATTTCAACTATTTGTAGAGATATCTTTTGCTAATGGGTGCCCATTACCTAATTTCCAGGTTGTGGAGGAGTTTTCCAAGCTCCACATGGAGAAATCCATTCTCCCAACTATCCCCAGCCTTATGGCAACAGCACTGACTGCTCTTGGGTTATCCGAGTTGAGAGTGGCCACCGAGTGCTGTTGAACTTCACAGATGTTCAAATAGAATTTCATCGTTCATGCAACTATGACTATGTCTCAGTGAGTAATGATATGTCGGAAGTGTGATAGGTATTTCCTCAAATACTGAAATATGCCCTCTTGCACATGTTAGTGCTCACACACATTCTTAGTGCTGAAGTGGGTGGGGTGAGGAAAAAGATAGGAGAGCCTTACTGGACACAATCCTGTTGTAGGAAAGATCTCACAACTCTCAGCATTCCTAGATTCCAACTGTTCTAAGTGCAATTGCTCCCTCTGCTCTATCGTCCAACGGCTCTGAAATCTTAAGACACCCATTCATATTAAAGTTCTAGGAAAGAGGTGGACAACTTGTGGCTTCTAGTTCTTGTGGCCTCCATCACCCTGGAAGATGGAAGTTGTGGGCCACACATTCTAGAAACTCCATAGCCAGTAGAAATAAGGGTTGCAACCAGGTTTCATCATGCATAGAATATTCCCATTGAAAGCAACGGGACTAAAGTTACTAACTTTAATTGTACTAATTTTGATATGTCAGGTGTAAATATAACTCTGTCTGGAATCAACCCAGCTTGTTTTCCTCCATTCATCTTTCCTAAGAATCAACATATAATATTTCACAATTGCTTTAGGGCCCCCAGTCTAGAAGCTGCTGCTTGTTCCAGAAGTTGCTATGGATCGGAAGTTATTTTTTTCAGGAATTTTAAAAAGAAATAGCATCATCTAGTTATGTTAATTCCACCGACACTTATTCATATGGGCCTTGCCCTCAGTATTAGTGGAAACACTTGCAGGAGTAAAAACTGTTGAATCATCCACATGTGGGAACACTGGACTTAATGATGTATGAGGAATTTCTGAAGTTTTCTTGCATGGGGCCAACAGAAATTTAAGTTTTGAACAGCCTGGCCAAGTAGGTGCCTGGGAGGAAGGTGTCTTTTAGTTGCACAGGCCCTTGCCCTCCTTGAGGTTTTAAAAGTATGGTTTTTAAACAGGCTAGCTGCAGTAGCTCTTTTCACATAAAATATCCTAACTTAAAAAAAAAAAAAAAACCTGTGCCTGTGGTCTGCAATATCAGTAAACTATGAGTCATTCTCTTTCAGCAACTGGAACTGATCAGAGTTCAGTTGTGCTTCGTGGCTATAAGCTGAGACAGTTCTGAGTGCACAATACTCTGGAAATCTATTGGAGAGGAGTAACTACAAATGTTATTTCTAACCATCAAACACTGAAAATTAAAAACAGCTAAGGAAAGACATAGATCACTTATGTTCCTGTGCAGTAGGAAGGGCTCTTCTAAGGAGAAACCCTTTCCACTTAGTTTCGTTTCTCTTAATAATCTGAATTGCTATGTGAATCTGCATAGGCCAAACCCTTTCCCTTTTATCTTTGAATCTATCTATTTATTTACAATACATATTCCATATTCTAGAATGGTGAGAAATATAAAGTAAAACAATAAATAGTATGACAAAAACATGTTCAATAAAACTGCTTGGTTAATTCAGGAAGACTTCTTGAATTAAATGTGTATTTAAGAGGTTGTGAAAATAGCGCTATGTGGGCACCTGCCTGATTGCCACAAGCAGAAAGTTCCAGAGAAAGGGAACTGCTATACTGAAGACTCCTCTTTGCACGGACTCCACTTAGGGCAGATCTTGGAGAACCACCAGGAACATGCCATCCAATGACTTCAGTGTCAGAGCAAGTTGGTAAAGGAGAAGAACATTTTCAAGTATTCTGATCCCAAGCTGTTTAGGGCTTTGTACACTACTACCAAATTTTAAACCTGGCATGGGGGCAGGTAGGAAGCCAATGCAGCAAAGGGTAACTTTCCTCTTAGTAGCGCCATTTATAATTACCTTATTTATTATTTATTTATTTATTAAAACATTTCTATGCCGCCCCATTTGCCGAAGCCTCGGGGCGGCTCACAACATAGAATTAAAATACAAGAAATAACAATATAAAATAAGTCGCCCTGGCCAGATAAAATAAGCAAATAATATTAACAATTAAAATGACGCTTAAATAAAAAGGTCTTCGCCTGGCGCCGAAAAACAATGACGGCGCCAGGAGGACCTTGCACACAATACTTGCATTTATTTATGTATTTAAAATGTTTGTATCCTGCCCTTTACAATGTCTCAGGGTGGCAATAGCATAAACAAACAGGACACAGCATCACATATAAAATATAAAATCAATACTAAAAACAACACTAATATTTAAAATACAGGGAAAATAAGGGTTTGGCTTGGCGCCAAAATGAAAAAAGTGTCAGCACCAGGCACACCTCTCTGGGGAGATGTGACAGATCTTATTTTGCTTTGGTAGCTTCCCTTTCTTTCCAGAACCCCTTTCTGGTTTAGCACTTGATGTTTATTTAAGCAAGGACAGCAACAAAGTACTGCTGGTCAGCTAAACTGTTTGTTCTTTCAAGGAAATCAGAGATATAAAAATAACCAAGTGAACCAAACCAATTCCAGTGTCTTTCATCCCTACATTTTGCAGCCATCTCATCTGAAGCTGCAGCTTTGGTTAGACTACCCAGCATTTGAAGATGATTAGGACACAAATTCAAGAACAGGAGGACCTTCCAGGGGGAAGCGAGATGATCCTCTGACTAAATGGGACACAATGAAACGTCAATTTAGGAAAGGGCACCTTGGTGAGGAGAAGTGGCTCTACAGTAAATCCTAAACAGCCATCCCTCTTCCTTTCCCCTGACCCTTTAGCAGAGGCTAGAGAAGAATAGGGGAAGGATTTTCCAGCCAGGAAACCTCCAGGGCTCGCCTGCCTGCCCTCGTGTTGGAGTGGGTGAGTGAGAGACTGAGCTAGTTGCTTATCTAAGGGCAGCTCTTTGCTATATAGCGTAGCTGAACACAACAGATGGTGGGCAGACAGAGGTGTACCTTCCATTAGACAATACTGTGGGCCCAGAGAAGGAGAGCAAGAGCTCCTCTGCTTGCATGTTTCCCTGCCCAGCAACAGAAGTAGCAATGCTCAGAGGACACGAGGGATCCTTGGCTGGGAGTTCCTCTTTCCCATTCTTTCCCAGCCTCTGCTGAAAGAGCAGGTGAAAGAAAGACAGGAGGACATTTACAATTTACTGTATGATCGTGTCTTCTTGCTCAGTCAACTTCTTTTCGTTCACATGTTAAGCACCCTTTGTCAAACATTCAATGTTTATTTAGACTGGGGTCTCCAACCATTTGGGATTGGTGTGCACATGTGGAATTTTGGGAAAGTGTCAGGAGCACTCACACAAAATGGCTGCCATGGGGAGGCCTTGCCTATTAATAAAATGGCTGCATGGCCACACGCAAAATTTCTCAGAAGGAAAACTTTCTAGACTAAAAGAAAAGGAAGTGCCCCAAAGACCAAATTACACAGCAAAGGTGAACTCTGAGCTTTCTTGAAACCAAGTAACAATGGCACTGGAGGACAGCCCTTAATTTAGCAACATGCCAGTCCTCCAGGTAAATTAGATGATTACAAATTTAAAAATACAAGACTGTGGTGCACTGCTGCCTTGGCAGACACCCAGAGAGGTATCTGTGGGCAATTGTTGCTTATCAGCACATCACCCTGGGCCCCCCAGAATTAGACTCCTATGCTTTCTCATGTAGTTTTCACATTTTTCTGTCAATAAAATCTGCAAACAGCAAGTGATAGGAGAATTAGTGTTGCAAAATTAGGACATGTTGAAAGTAACAATGCTTTCTGATGGTTAGACACTTAAATGCAAGTTCCTCTTGTTGCTCAGCAAAGTGTGACTTGTACTCCTTAGTTCCACATGTGGTGAGTATTGCAATTCATCACATCTTGCAGAAATGCAACTTCACTGGATCTCCAGGATGTGGTAAATCTTGCATCCTACCGCATAGGTTTAGCAGAAAAAAGGGAGGAGTATCTCTGAAGTGACTTTCTTTATTTAGTGAGTTTACTATTTCAAAAATGAAGGTGAGCATCAGTCCATGGGTAATTGATAGGTCGCTGTAAGAGGATGTTGGGAAGTTGGAGAGTTGTGTAAAGTATTTCCTCTACTCATTTTGCAAAATGAGCACTATATGACTAGAGGGCGAACATTACCCTGTGAAGCAAATTGTTGGATTTTGTAAAATAGTTGGGTAAACCTATTTTGACAAAAAGTCTTTCGCAGGGATGGAAGCTTTATTGTTTTGGGCCAGGGTTGGGGGGGGGGGGGCTTCTGTCCTAAAAAATGCCCATGAATATTTTAAATAAATTAATTAAGAAGCAGAGATTCTCCAAATTCCACTTTGAAGCTTAATTTGTCTTCATCCTGTTTTCCTTTGCAAGCTGTTTTGCTTTCTGTTTGAACAGGAAAGGTGCACCCATCAAAAGGGTATACTGCACATTTATGTGCACATTTTAAAGAGTGTGTAATGCCCCCCACTGATTACAGTGTGGAAATGTACATTTTAACAATGCATATTAATTAACTGTGGTTGTTACTGCCAGTTATTACCTTCCCTCTGACCTCCCTACTCACATTTCTCCCACCACCATCATATACGCATTATGTTAATCTGAAACTCCCTATAACAGTCTAGCTAGTTGATAAAACATTTTTAAAAGATGCCACAAGACTCTTGCTTCTTACCAAGTTTAGTGTTCTGCAGCAGGCTTGGATGGAAAGAGGCTTCATTTTTCAGGATCACGCTTATTATAATTTATGACAATTTATTGCAGTTCATTCTGACATGCCAGATGCCTTCATGGGATCACCTTTTATCCCTCTGGAGCACAGGAAGACTGAGTCAGAGCATGCATCTTTCCAGCCCTGCATTGCTGGCCCTGATAGACAGTGGCTCTCCAGGGTGACAGGAAGGGTCCTTTTTTAGCCACCCTTCCCAAGATGCTGGGACTGAACTTGGATCTCCTGCATGCAAAGCCCTTCCATAATGAGGTACAGGTTGATGTAGGTGACTGGCTCCCTGTGGTGGTCATTCTAAATCTTTTGGGCCTCACAGCCAAACTGGATATTTATCTCCCAAAGCTACAACATTTAACCAATATTTGCCACATCAGGGTATGAGGGAGAAGATTCCAGCAGATTCCAGCGGAAGCATGAGTGGATGGAAGAAGTGCTTAACCTTTCCTTGTTATTTCCCTCCACAAATATCCTCCCAATGTGTTCTTCCTTTTCCCAGCTTGCTTCCAGTTTCAGAGCAGGGAGGAAACACCATTTAAAAAGATGTGGGGAAGCCCTTGTATGGAGGCACTCTCCCTATCCCGCTTCCCATCCTCTCCCAGGTATTCTCTGTAAATCCCCCACATTTGAGTTGTTAGGAAATAAAAGATTAGGAGCCTCATATTTTACTTGTAGAATCTAGGTTGACCCTTAACTTCTTACAGACAACACGGCACTTGATGTGGGATAGAGTGGAAGAATGATATTCCTGGGAGACTGCATGCTCTTTTTTTCTTCAGCTGTATTGAGCTTCTAACATTTGCATGTTTACAGTGCAATCCAATACACCTCTACTTGGATGTAAGTCCCATTGGGCAAGTCCAGGGAACTCAATGGGAGTTATTTCCAGATAAGTGTGTATAGGACAGCAGCCTAAGGGGTTGTCAGAATGTTACCCACTCCGATCTCTGATCTTGGAGGCTTTTGTGCACTGCTTAGCTGATGCCAACAAGCAAGAGGAATGACAGAGGAGATTGATGCCTCTCCATCTTTCCAATTTCCCCCCACCTGATAGGATTGTAGGATTATACCCTAAATATGGCATAAGTCAATAATCCCAGTGCAGCTATCTGTTATTCAGGAATAATGCATTTTGAGAATTTTTAATGAACAATTGTGCAATCTGTTCCTTGGATAAAGATTAAAAATGCTCTAATTGGCAGTAAAGCAGAGCTAAAAGGTGATGGTGGCAACTAAACAGATATTTAATGAGCCCAGAGCTGAGTCTTTCCTAGTTAGATATAACCACCTCCTAATACATGGGAGGAAGAAAATAGCAAGCCCTCTATAAATAATGAATACTTGTAAAAGGTTTTCTTTATGCTATCAATTGTGAATTTCTGGTGCACGCCATTCTAAATTTCTACATACCACTCTATCATGCAGGTATTTGATGGGCCTGATAATGAAGCTCCACTTCTTCAAAAAGTCTGTGGTCAGCAGAAACCACCTCCTGTCACTTCAACCCAAAATGTCATGTTTGTGAGATTCCGCTCAAATAGCAATGTCCACCTCAGAGGCTTTAGTGCTCGGTTCTCTGAAGGCAAGTTTCTTGCAGCTATGCGTTTGCTTGTGTTTGTTCTGGTCCTAACTACTGGTTCTGCTTCCTAGTGGTGATTTGAGCATCAGGCAGGGCCAGAGCAGCCCAAAACCTGAAACAAAGAGCTGATGGAGGGATTTCTGGCAGGCAAGTGGCTTGGCTAGTTCTTGCTTCTTACCAAGTTTAGTGTTCCGCAGCAGGCTTGGATGGAAAGAGGCTTCGTTTTTCAGGATTGCACTTCTACTTTTTCTCATTATAATTTATGACAATTTATTGCAGTTCATTCTGACATGCCAGATGCCTTCATGGGATCACCTTTTATCCCTCTGGAGCACAGGAAGACTGAGTCAGAGCATGCATCTTTCCAGCCCTGCATTGCTGGCCCTGATAGACAGTGGCTCTCCAGGGTGACAGGAAGGGTCCTTTTTTAGCCACCCTTCCCAAGATGCTGGGACTGAACTTGGATCTCCTGCATGCAAAGTCTGTGCTCCATGACTGAGGCATGGTCCCTCTTGCTATTTCTGATAACTTTATATAAACATACAGCTGAAATAACAGTTTCATCACTTGATCTCCTTGTGAAGTTCAGTGTAAATTGGTAAGCTTGCATAAATTTCTTAAAAATGCAGAGCCGAACCAGTTCAAAGGTTTTATCACCTCCCTGAATACCCATCCTAAACAGCACTGTCACTTTTACACAAACTGGTAAGGCCATACAGCAAAATAGACACAGTGACTGCATTGTCAACAGATCTAGCATGCTGTTGCATCTGGCACAGAATAAAGTATTCTAGCAGTTGGCTAGAACTGGAAGATCGTGTGGGAATGAGCTATTGCTCAGTTATAGAGCATGTTTCTTTGCATGCAGTGGGTCTCAGGTTCAAATTCTGCCATTTCAAGTTAAGAAGCTCAGAGAGCTGACCTAGGGAGGATGGCTCAAAGTTGGCTTAAATTGCGGTTCTTTATCAAGGTGTCATCCTCTCACAATCAGCTTGTCCTCCTGAAATTTTGCACTGCAATTTCCATCATCCATGACTACTGATTATACTGGGTGATAGGAGTTGCAGTCCAACATAGGGCATAGTCCACACTGAGAACCAGTGTGGTATAGTGGTTGAGAGTGGGGGAGTGGGACGCAGGCAATGTGGGTTCTAGTCCCTGCTCAGCCATGGAGCCAACTAGGCCAGTCCCAACTCTCAGCCCAGCCTGCTTCTCAAGGTTGTTGAAGATTGACAGCAGCAGTCAGAAAAAGATGTAAGCCACTTTGAGTTTTTTTGAAAAAAAAAGCAGGATATAAATCTTAATAAATACAGGGAACTAGGTTGTGGGAAGCTGAAACAATGCTGGTTAAGATATTTTGAGTTGACAAAAGCATCTGTCAATATCCCTTGTTCCAAATCAAGTTCCTTTTATATATACCTTAAAATGCCATGCCTTTGTATCTTTTATTCCAAAGCGTGTGGAAGTGTCTTAGAGGCTGATTCAGTCGGTGCAGCAATTTCCTCTCCTCTTTACCCAGCCAAGTATCCAAACAATCAGAACTGCACTTGGATTATTCGAGCCCAGGAACCATGTAAGTTAACAGATCCTTCTGCTCTGTTGTGGGAAAGCTAGCAGAGTGACTAACATCCTCCTCTCATCTGTAATAACAATGAAGAATTCCTCCTTTTCTTCTCTGTAGGAAATCCTGCATCCTGGTAGATGGGCACCACTAAGGGACACTTAATCTGTTCTGGAGTGGAAATGAATCTGAAAAGATTTAAGACTGAGTGTAAAACGAGATAACATCCAACTTAGCCATTCTGTCAACTTTACAGCCTTGATTATGAGGCTTGAAGGTTGTGCTGGAGTTGAATCTCATAAAACTAGGATTTCTGCAGGATAAATAGAATTGTTGTCCCTGCACAGAAAGCCATAGTTGTATATGCACACAAGTACTAGTCTGAAATCTAATTTTCAGGTGCTCATACATGTGGGTGTATTTTGTATCTGATCTTGGAGAATGTGATTTATCTAAGACTATGCAACCAATCTGTGACCATGAGAAAACGTGAGTCCAAACTATGTCTAGATCATTTTCTTGCAGCAAGCTACATCTTAGAGAACTGAAAGCCTTGGCTGAGGTGTATTAAATCATGCAAGCCAGGAAAATATAAAGAGACACAGCAATTTTAGCAGTTGGAGTAATGTTGTTCCACTATACATGCTGTGCATGTGAACAAACCTTCCCTAGTCCCACAGCCCCTTCTTGGTGCCCACTGCAGTTTGGGGTCATCAGCAGTGCTTTTATTGGCTGTTTTTGCAGCACCACACAGGAGAATGGAAAAGGCACAGACAGAGTGTAAACTCCATTTCCAGTTAGTCACGTGCAGCTGTGTGTTGATCTGCAGATTCTTAAATAATACAATTGTTCCGGGACATCAGGAATTAGGATGTGGTATGGAGTTAGGATGTGAACTGAAGACAATTCAGTGACATTTCACATGGAACTTCAGACCATGATTTGGCACTGCTTCAGCTTCCCCACCCTAGTGCCCTCCAAATGTTTCAGATTACAGCTAGCATGGCTAAGGGCCAGGAATGCGAGAACTGTAGTAGTCAACCGGAAGGGAGCAAACATGGAGTCCTGCACTGAGCAGAGGGTTGGACCCAGTGACATTATTGGCCCCTTCCAACTTAGCATTCTGCGGATCTATGATTCTGCGATCCACAGGTGAGTAAGGCTGTGCTACATGGATGAGAAGTCAAAGGGACTCCGGCTTGGACCTTTGCTCCTCCTCCTCCTCCCATTCACAGTGACTGACTCCCTCCTTTCCTGCTTTAAGGCAACTACTTTCTGTTTGCCCTGCAACCTGGGACTGCAAACCAGGATGTGATATAAACCATAGTTTTTCTGGCTGGTTTGTAATAGCAAGCTAAGGTGTGCTTCTCTCTAGGGAAGGAAGAAGGGGATCGTGATGTGGGAAAGGAGCAGGAGCAGAAGAGGGCAAGGTCATGAGACTCTTTCACGGTCTCAGTATTAAGTTGTTCCATCCTGGAGATAAAAATGAACTAAATAAGTAACTGGGCAACTTTCAGTATGAAAATTCCAGTCAGTCCTTCTTAACCAAATTGAAAATCTGGTATATTTCCAACCTTCTTTTTTCAACAGCTGACCATGTTACCCTCTCATTCACTGAATTCGAGACTGAAGACAGAAGGCATAACTGCAGCACAGATTATGTGGAAATCCGGGAGGGAGATAATGACAATGCACCATTGCAAGGTACAGTTGCATTATTTGGATGGATTTTTTTTCAAAATGCATTTGTTCATGAACAGAATTGATATGGAATAAATGCCCCTTAGGGGTAGGAATGGTATTTCTGTACTCGTATTTCAGAAAATATCTTCCACAATGTATTTGGTAGTCCAATAATCAGGAGTACAATGTAGTCCTTGATGCAGAGAACCTATGGCCCTCCAGATTGTGGATTTATTGTTCCCCTGATCATTGAACATGCTGGCTGGGGATGATAGGAGTTGGAGTTCAACAACATCTGGAAGGGCATAGGTTCCCCAGCCCTGCTGTAAAAACAAAGTCATACAGCCTTTGTAGGATTTGTCTTTGCTACAGAGTGTAGGTTTGGCCCTGGAGCCATGGTTTTACTGCCTTTGCTTAAACTCAGGGTCAATGAACACAGATGTTCTCTTGCTTTCTGCAGTCACTTCTTCTTTTATATGACCATAGCAAATGCATCATCTAGGTTCTCTACCCAGAGCTGAACTGAATTTTTTCACCTTAACTTGTTCATACTAGCCTTTCCCTCCTTTCTTCTTCCAAGCAGATAAGGACAAAAGGCTTCTTAATAAAAGTCTTCATTATATTAGAGCTGGCTGGTTTTGTAATACAAAAGAAGAGTATTGCAGAAGTTAATCACCATAGAGACAAGTGAATTTAGAATACTGGCAATTAGGGAACTGGGACTTACTCATTTGAAGTTGTTTCTGAACCGAACATTTCTCCTTCCTCTCAAACCAAAAGGAACTGATTCTACCTTTGGGGTGGTTCATGCTGCTCATAGGCCAATCACCAAAAATGACTGATATGACTCAGCTGGCCTGCCCTTTTTACCTGAAGCTGTGCATTGGACTGATTACGTTTAGTCTGCCCATTCCTGTCAGAATGCTCAACTGAGTTTCCCAGAGAACTTGAAGCTGCCTGGTTCTACTTCGTTATCTGGCTTATCTCTGGATTGCTTGGCCTCAGTATTTCAGCTCAGCACTCCAATCCCACCTCTCCTTCTGCTTCTGAATCTGAGGCAACAGTCTTTGAAGGTTGCATTTACATGCTATTACTTCTCCATCCACTTTAGGGAGTTTACAGTGCTGCTCTGTGAACCACTGCTGAGTTAGGAACCCAACAAAGTCATACTTCTGGGACATACATGTAAGAGCCAGTTGTGGGGTTCCACAGTGGTGGCACAGACGAGAAAGGCAAGGCAGGAAAAGGAAGAGTATCATTATCATAATCTGGGTCCAGGTTCCCATTTTTCTAGAGTTAATGTAAAAAACTGAGGGTTAAAAGACCCCAGATTACCAGGTAAGCAGTATCAGGCAAGATTACATTGGGGATTGAGACACATAAAGAGAATAACAGTCATGGAGGCCCCTGCGTGTCAGTTGCTGGAGACTAGAGCAGGAGAGAGCTTTTGCCGTCTTGCTCCACTAGTGGGTATCCTAGAAGCATCCAGCTGGCTGCTATGGGAAGCAGCAGAATACTGCCAGATCCAGCAAAAAGCTTCTTTATCTTGATAAATGTATAACTCAAAGGAGCCGGGATGAAGGGCAGGTGCTGAGAGTCAGAGCAAACCATGCAAGCTTTACTTCTCTCGTGTTGTTTTTCCAGGCCGCTATTGTGGCATTGCCATGCCACATCCAGTAACTTCTTTCAGCAGTGCCATGTCCATTAGCTTTGTCTCTGACAACATCACTGCGGCCAAAGGATTCCGTGCCATTTTTTCTGCATCAACTTCTGGTATGTGTGTATTTGAATGCTTCTAGAGCACTGGCAGTCCTTGGAGATGTAGTCATTTCATTTGAAGGCTTTCCCTGTATTCCTCATCATGAGAAGCTCTCAAGAATAAGAGTGCTGGAGGGCTCAAGTCAGCACTGGGAAAGAGCAAGGCTGGTTGGAAAACCAGTACAGCCAGCTGGTGAAGATCAGGCAGTCTGTTGGGATCCAGGGCAAGCTGCTCAGGCAATGAGTAAGTGAAGAGCTTGCTATTATGAAGTGACTTCAGGCTGTAACTAGAGATGGGGGAGATATTCATTTAAATAATTCATTTAATTAATTTTAATGAACACTTCCCTAATGCCACACTTTAAAATCAAATCATGAAAAGAAACCTTGTTCTTCAAAAGTTGTAGTTCCCAAATTTTGCAATGAAGAGTTCCAATCAACATATGCATTTTTATGAAAATTGCACATACACCATATACATAGACCTGTGAGGGTGATGACAGTGAGGGCACGCTCGCAAGCTCCCCCTTCCATTCCAGCATCCCAGAATATGCTGACTGCCCCCTGCTTCCCAGCATTCCTGCAATAAGTGCAAGGACTGCAGTGGGTTTCTGTTCATGTGTGCTCATCAGTCTGGCTGCACATCGGAAGTGGGCCTAGCGGGCGCTGCAAGGCAAGTTGCTCCACGGGAGTTCAACCCCCGCATTCTGCATGCTGTCACATTTTGAGGTATGCTGCCCTGCACTTCTGGTTTAAAGTTGGTGCCAAACTGGGCACATAGAAAGCTGTCCTAGTGCTCAGGTTCAGCGTCAGCCACACAACTTTGTAAGATTAGGAAAACTGAGCCATTTTATTCCTGTAACCAAGATTTCCTACTCTGAATCATAAGTCTGTGATGAATATATTACTTTTGCCAAGAAGCAATGCAAAAGGGGAATTCCATGTTGTTCCAGCCTTCAAAATATGCAATCTGCTAGAGGTATTTTCTCCCTTTATGCACCTTCTGGTAGTTCATTTTTCTCCTGCTCTTGCTTGCAGCCTGTGGGGGTACCTACCATATGGAGAGAGGAGCCTTCAATAGTCCCAACTTTCCTGAACCGTACCCGATGAATGTTGAGTGTGTCTGGAACTTTCTGAGCTCCCCTGGCAACCGGCTCCAGCTGTCTTTCACGTAAATCGAATTTCCAAAGGGTTATTGTTCAGTGTTTTAATAGAGCTGCAGGAAGGAAATGCTGTGTTTAGTAGGAAATGTAATTACCAGCATGTAAAAGTGTAGCAGTGCCCACAACGACTTGGAAAGAGAACACAGTAGCAGCCATAAAAGGCTTGCCCTCACTTTCTTCTGCTGTGTTTAATGACCACGTAACACATTGGACTTTCAGACAATTGCATTTTGTGCTGTAAATGCCATTCCTCTAGTATATCACAAACAATGAGAAAGCATTATTACTATTCTCCTCCTCCTCCTCCTTTGGCTTCTGTAGACTTTCCTGCAAGACAAACAGTTCAGCTCTCTTACTAAGTCATTTGCAAGTTTGCCTATAGATTCCTGACAGATTTTATTAATAGAGCAACAATCATAATTCACACCCAAATATAACCAATTTTGAATTAAACTGGTATTCCAGTCATAAATAAATTTACTTCAGTCCATAGCCTCACAAGACAAAGCATGAAGCTCTTGTGTATGCTGCTTTCCCTGTTATTATTGTTAGAAGGGTATTACTGCATGCACAACTGAATTAATATATAGCATGGGGTCTTGTTTGGAAAGAATGGGAATGATCTTTCACGTCATGCACTGGGGTGCCTGTACCGGCAGGCATTTTGTGGCATGATTTTTATGCTAAAGAAAAGGTGCTCTCCTCTCTTCTGTGTTTACTGACCTCATGATGTGCCAGTAATATCTGCAAAATGCAGTCCTGTATGGCTGGATCAATTGTGTTAGATGTACCAAATGGTAGAGGTGCCCTTCCCTGGGACAGGTAGATGGTGCTGGAGTGGGGTGCCATCATCAACAACATTAATTCAGACATAATAGGCCAGTTCAGTCTGGGCTCACCACGAGCTTTTTAACCCCTGGTGAGCTGCTGCATTTGCCAGGCATCATTAAGAATAGGCAACCCCTCAATGGCATTGTGATATAATGCCTGAATGTGGCCACCATGGGCCATTTGAGGGTTACATAATCCTTGCATAATCCTATTACAAACCATGATGTAAATCATCCATAGTGAAGCTGGTGTGTCATGCAAGCTGGGTCAGTGATTCCAGTCCAGTACTGGGTTAATGATTACAATATAATATAATACAGTAGAAAAACCAAAGCATTGCTTGACTTTCTGACAGCACAATCCTATTCCTCTTTGCTCGGGAGTAGATCCCAAGGAGTGGGCCTTATCCCAGGTCAGTGTATACAGGATCACAGCCTAAAGTGCTTATCATGAAATTGAAGGAAATTTAGCTTATAACATGGCTACTAATCCATGCAATACGAAAAGCTGAAAGAGCACAGCAGGACAGTACGCAACATAAGAATCTATTTGGGGGAGGATTTTTTGATGAATTTAGTAATATAAAGCCACTTTTCCAAATAGATGAACAATGCAAAATGAAGCAAACATAGTTAATTCTTGCCATTACCAGGAAATGGCCAATCCTGTGTGTACGTTCATTCTAGGCAAAAGAACAAAGTATACCCACAAGTAATGTCCTCACTTATTACACATAAAAGCAACATACACAATCACAAACATGTACCCCAGTGCCAATGATGCCAGTAATTCACTTACTGCATACTCTTTCCTTTCCTTTCAGTGTAAGTAGTTCTTTCTCACGTTTTCATAACAAAAAGGAAAATTCAGTATTAATGGGAGGTCTTCAAACAGTCTATAAGGAGTCACTTATTATAAACCTTATCCAGTATCAGTTTTCTATCCATTTATTTGGCAACATGCATTCATCTTTTGAATACCGGCTTTGCAAAATTACCCCTTTCGCATGTTTGAAGGGGTAGCTCCAAATTACCACAAAGTGCATCCAGATGGGATGTGGGTTCTATTTCATAGTATCCTGTAGGCATGTGGATCCACTTAACATTGGTTAGAAATCTGAGAACAGGGGTATTTTATACATTAATTCTAGAAAACCCTTTCTGCTTTTATTTTATTTTATAATTCATGCCTAGCCATAAAAATACAATACTATTTTGCCACAGGAAAAATGAAGTTCAGTTAGCATCCTGAAGTTCAGATTAGTTCCTGATGTGCATAAATGCCCAGGACAATCCATTTAAGAAGAGATGCACCAACTGAACAGTTGCTGGTGAAATCTGAAGCCTTCCCATTTTAACTCCCTCTGCCTTCCTCACACCAAAAATTGTCTAGCACTTTGAAAGGAAATAGGGACATTAGCCATGTGCAGAATGCTAGAGCATCCCTACTGGGAAACATCACCTATCCTGTACTAGCTCATGACAGAAGAGGGTGTAAGTCTGATTTCCAGACGAAACTGAAGCTTATCCTGCATTAGCCATGTGTGGTATTTACAAGCGACACTCCTTTACCTGAAGGCTGTCAGAAGGCCTCTGATGGAAGGCACAGTTTATCTGAAGGGCTGCCCCACCCAATTCCAGTTAAAGCCTGATAAGAAGAGGGCCTGCTTAAAGCAGGGGTCTTGCACTGGCTCAGCGAGAGTGAGCCCCTGGGCAGCAGGCTAAATGGTCACAGAGGTCACAGCCTGCCTTGTTATAACAAGATGTATTGTTTCTCTGTTCAAACGATAGCAGAGTATATGTTGGGAGAGTGTTCTAACAGTGCTAAGGCTTGGTTCTATAAATGTGAAATGCTACCTGATCATGTGCAGAATTTCCTTCCCGATCAGGTTATAAATCTGGAATTACAATATACATCTTCCACATGAAAGGTTATTTCATTTCAACTAGAACTCCCATCGGCCTCAGCCAGCAAGGGAATCTCAGGGTTGCAGAGGATTTCAAATTATTAAGAGGTTAAGCAAATTGCTGAAGGAGAACTTTGCAAAAACCTGGCCCAACAGAAAGACAAAGGAATGGGTCCTCAATCAAATCAAGCCAGAGATTCTCCTAGAAGCAAAATGACAGAACTGAGGCTGTTATACTTTGGACACCTCATGAGAAGGCAGGACTCCTGGAGAAAACCATCATGCTGGGAAAGTCGAAGGCAGAAGAAAAGAAAGACCAACTAAGAGATGGATTGATTCCCTAAAGGAAGTCACAGCCTTGATCTTAGGAGAGCTGAATGGAACTGTCATGGACAGGACATTGAGGAGAGCTTCTGTTCATAGGGTTGCCATAAGTCAGAGATGACTTGATGGCACATAACAGCAAGCAAACTGGTTTCAACCAGGGCTTTTTTTTTTGTCATAGAACGCACCGGAACGGCGTTCTGGCACCTTTTTTTGATGGATTTTTCCAAGTGATTTTGAATCACCCTGTCGGGCGTAGCAGGTTGGCGGCAAACATCATTAACATAGTGCATGCGGGCTCCTTGTGTGTCCGCGCTGATTGTGAGGGTGCTGCTCAGCTTGGGACGCTGCTCGGCTTGGGATTGGTGTGTGTGGTCGCGCGCTGAGTGCTTACTGCTGGCAGCGACCATTATGTTTATGTGTGTGTAGAGTGACTGGCTACATGCAAAAGGTAAATAAGTTCTTTATTTCAAAAAAAGTTGGTGAATTGAAAATCTTTTTTAGTGTAAAAGTGTGACCCCCAAGACGTGAGTTCCGGCACCTTTTTTTTTTTTTTTTTTTACAAAAAAAGCACTGGTTTCAACTATCTGGAAGCAGCATGGAAGACAGGAAATGCTTCCTTCCAGATATGTGGGGAAGTAAGCTGGTGTCTCAGATGAATTAAATAATGATGCATCATAGAGAAGTTGTCTCCATATAGTGAATAGGAGACTGGAAAAAGTGGGGCACTGAGGCAGAGAGCGTAGGGCTAACCACATGTCATAACACTGCAAGGAGATGAAAGGTTCATAACTAACTTTCCTGCAATAGTGGCTGGCTCTTTTCTTTTTTTAAGAATAATGTTTTGTAAGGAAAAAACCTGGTCTGTATATAAATTTCCATTGTAATTTATTTTGAATTGCATGTATTGTTATATGAATTAATACATCCATATTACCTGCTGTACACAGGGAATTTCAGATAGAAGAAAGCGAAGACTGCACCAAGGACTATGTTGAAATCCGGGAAAACAATTCTGCTGGCCACCTGGTGGGACGATACTGTGGAACCTCCTTGCCAGTGAATTACACCTCCATCGTGGCACATGCCCTGTGGGTTAAATTTGTCTCAGATGGCTCAAACAGTCAAAGGGGCTTCCGGGCCACATTTGCTCACTGTAAGTAAATACTGAATTCAAAGAGAAGTGGTCATTTCACAGTTCATTTGTAAGTAAGCAAGGATGTTTCACCCTCTGTGGGATCAGTGAACAAGATTATAAATCTCCCTTAACTTCATAATACCTTTAGAACTGTTCAGCATTTGGATTTTAATTTTGTTTATATCTGTAATATATAGTGCTGAGATAAATGGTTATATTTTCACTGGACCATTAATCAGAGCTGGCCCTTAGATGTAGGCCTCATGGAATGAAGTTGAAAGAGGTGCTTCATCAAGTATTGCATTTCCAAGCCACACAAGGCCTTATATGTTAAAACCAGCACTGTGAATTGGATTTGGAAACATACAGGGAGCCAATGCAAATGGGCCAGAATTGATCTCATTTTTCGATTGGGTAAACTCCCTGATAGATTGTGAGAATTCTGTGGACATAATCTATCTTGACTTAGCAAAGCTTTTGATAAATTGCCCCATGAGATTCTGATTAACAAACTTGTTAAAAGTAGGCTAGATGGAACAACTATCAGGTGTATCCACAGTTAGCTACAGAATCAAACTCAGAGTGTTCATCAATGGCACCTTCTCAGACTGGGCAGAGGTAAAAAGTGGGATACTGAAGCTTCAGTCCTGAGCCCAGGGCTCTTCAACATTTTTATTAATGATTAGGATGAGGAAGTACAGGGAGCACTTCTTAAATGTGCAGATGACACAAAACCAGTTAGACCAGTTAATATCCAGGAAGACAGAAAGAAGATTCATGCTGATCTTGATAGGTTTGAGCACTGGGGTAAAAACAACATAATGAAATTCAATAGGGACAAATGCCAAGTTCTGCATACAGGAAAAAGAAACCAAAGGCATCATTACAAGATGGGAAATACTTGACTCAGCAATTCTGCAAGTGAGAAGCATCTTGGAATTGTTATCGATCACAAGCTGATATGAGTCTACAAAGAGGGCAAATGCTATTTCAGGCTGCATTAACAGAAGTATCACTTCCAAATCACATGAAGTACTATTTCCCCTTTATTCAGCACTGGCTAGGCCTCATCTGGAGTACTGTGTTCAGTTCTGGGCACCACAGTTTAAGAAAGATGCAGACAAACTGGAAAGGGTTCAGGGGAGGGCAACAAGAATGATCCAGGAACTGCAAACAAAGCACTATGAGCAGAGATTGAAATAACTGGACATGCTTAGCCTAACAAAGAGAAGATTGAGGGGAGATCGGATCGCATGCTGCAAGTACTTGAAAGGCTGTCACAAAGAGGAAGGCCAGGATCTCTTCTCAATCATCCCAGAGTGCCGGACATGACATAAGTGGCTCAAGTTACAGGAAGCCGGTGAGATATCAGGAAAAATTTCCTGACTGTTAGAGCAGTGCACCAGTGAAACCAATAACCTAGGGAGGTTGTGGGCTTTCCTACACTAGAGGCATTCAAGATGCAACTGGACCGCCATCTGAGAGGGATGGTGTAACTTGGAGTCCTGCACTGAACAGGGGCTTGGACCTGATGGCACTCTGGCCCCTTCCAATTCTACTATTCTATAATTCTATGATTGTATGATCTCATATGCTAGAAACATCTAGTCCTAGTTATTAATGTAGCTGCTGCGGTTACAGTTCTGAGCAGTCTTCAAGGACAGCCTCACATTGTCTACATTGCAGCAGTCTAATTTGGATGTTACCAGAGAATAGACTACTGAAGCCTCCTGTCCAGATAGGTGCATTGCTGGTCTGCTAGCCAAAGCTGGTGAAAGACACACCATTCCACTGGGGCCACCTGGGCTTCAAGTGATAAACATGGAGGACTTCCAAGGAGAACCTCCAAGCTATGAACCTGCTTGTTCAGGGGAAAGGCAGCCTTATCTGGAGCGGGTTTAAGCACCTTTCACCTGGTCAGAAGAGCCACCCACTAACAAATTTCAGTTTGTCCAGGTTGAGCTTCAGTTCATTATCCCTCATCCAGTCATCCAGGCACCAATTTAGCACATCCACAGCCTCACCTGATGAAAATAAAAAGAAGAAAGGCTTTGTGCCTTCAACGTACTTACGGCAGCACAGTCCAAATTCCAGATGAACCAACTCACTAAGTGGTATCTAACCTTGCACAACCTATCTATTTAAAATCACACAAAATTATCTCAAGGTCCTACTCCCTTTCACACAGTAACAAGCTCTGTGTGTGTTTCTGCTTAGTGGCACAGAGGTGACTGTGAATATTTAGCATAATTGTTACAGTAAAATAATGCAGCCAACAATCTTGTGAGAAGGAAGGAAACTCATGACAAATTACTTTCCTTGACTTTCAATCTATTTCCTAAGTCTATTTATACAACAAATTAATTTAATGGACATTCTGTAATCATCATAAACTTCTTATTTTTCAGTGTTTGGAAATAATATCGTGGGGAACCATGGACAAGTTGCTTCTCCACTGTGGCCAAGAAATTATCCACACCGCTCTAATTACCAGTGGACAATAACTGTTAATGCAACACAAGTTATCCATGGCCAGATCTTACAGATGGATATTGAAGATTTGTATAACTGTTACTATGATAAATTGAAGGTGAGCTTAATGTTGTGTGAGCTCCCCACACTTAACACTAAGGTGCAAATGAGTCATGAAGCAAAATTACAAGTCTGTCACAACCCATGTGTACTCTGCACATGGATATGGATATTTATGGATATGCTTTCAAATTCTGAATTAGTTCCAAGGTCAAGAATAACAGAAAAAGGATAATAAGGTTTACAACATAAATATAGCGAAACTGTGTGTTACCTATAAACAATTGGTGGTTGCCCACACTTAACAGATGCTTTCATGGAGCAGGGAAGCCCACTGTTCTGCTAATCCTTGTGAATAAATGGGACCGGTCCTAACACTGGGCAAGTGAGGCCTTAGATACTCTGCTGTGCGTGTGCATCAGGTGGTACTCACTCATGTTGCCTGAGCTCCTCGGCTGTTCTCTTTTGTTCGTTTGGTGGAGAACAGAGCTCTGGGTGTCATGCAGCTTGCCCACCAGGCCCTAAACCAGTGGTGGGAAACACCCTGTCCTCCAGATGTATTTGGACTGCAATCCCCATCATTAGAAGGCAGCATAGCCAATGGTGAGGGATGCTGGGAGTTGCCATTCAATATCTTCTGGATGGCCCTAAGTTCCCCACCTCTAAGCAAGCCTAACCTGCTGCCCATGGGTTTCATGGCAAAAGTTGTCCCCACTACTCTTATTAGTGCTATGCTGAAAAGTATCCCTCTTTCCCCCCATTTTATTTTTTGCCAAATGCACATTGGGTTAAAAAAATCCCAACTTCAAGTATAGCCGTGACTGATCAAGAAAGAGATGTTGGAGTTTTGGTGGACAGCTTGATGAAAATACTGGCCCTGTGCATGCTGCTGCGAAAAGGGCAGACTCCATGGTTGGCATAAGCAGGAAAGAAAGTAAGGATAAGATTACCAGCATCAGACTGCCCTTATCAAAATCTACAGTGCAGCTGCAATTATAATGCTGTATGCAGTTCTGGTCATGGCACCTGCAAAGAATACTGTGGAGTTGGGGAAAGTGCAGGAAAGGGCAACTAAAATTACTGAAAATCTGGAGAAACTCCCCTACAAGGAAAGGTTGCAACAGCTGAGATTGCTTGGGAAAAAAGTGAATGAGGGGAAGATTTGATGGAAATCCAGCATGCAGGGAAGGGAGGCGCAGTGAGAGGGCATCTGGCCACCATTCCCAAGGGCCAACCTCCCTGCCCATTTACTGCTACTGGCACCAACAGTGGCAGCAAGTGGGCACACCAGCCACCATTCCCAGTAACCAATCATGGTGCTGCTTCTGCAATGTTTGAGACATAATTTCTGGTGAGCACTCTCCGAACCTTGGGTATGCTCACCAGAAACTTGGGCTCCTGCAAAGCAGATAAGAGTCTGGGAAGCTGACAGGAGGTTTCCTCCCAAAGCAGATTCCTTGCACATCCCTAGTGCCCATAGACATACACACCAGTTGCTGGGGAACTTGGGCAGCTGGTTGGCCCCTGTGTGAAGGGAATGCTGGACTAAATGTTGGTGTGATCCAGCAAGGCTCTTGCGCTCTCATTCATGTTGACAGAGATGGAAAGGAGTAGAACATTTCAGAGGAATTCTCATGGAGTGCTTAGGAAGAAGTCAAAAAGTGTGAACAAATGTTCTGTCTCCCACTGTCCAGTCATTTCTTCTGCAGTCTGTCGCATTCTCAGTTTCCCATAGTCCAATAAAATCCCAGGAGAAAATATCATTAGGTAATTCCTTCCACAAAGTTTTTCAGCTTGGGAAACACAGGGCATCTGGCAGGCTACACACAGAAAGAAAATGCACATGCAGGACCCTCGGGCACCTCACACTAACGAGGTAAGTTCAAAAGTACCATGAACATAAATGAAAGAGCACCACAGGGATGAGGCAGAACAATGGAAGCCTCAGATATGGGGAAAAATGTTCAGGAAACTGGAGCACAGATTTTGCCACAAACTAGCACCATCTCTTTCACAGGGTGCCCCTCCCTCCACATACATACCTATGGTCCATGCATCCATACCTGGAGGATGCAGAATGGTAGCTCACCTGTGAACAGGACTGATGCTTTTGCCACATGCAATGACAGCACAGAGAAACAAAATACTGAAAGGAAAAAGGAAGAGATTACAAAGTGCTAAACCCCTGCCAGTGCGGAGCCTTGCCTAGAAAAAACCCACTGAGAATTTTTCCTCCACCTGGAGAAATTCAGTAAAATCTCTCCTGCCTCCCCCCAGCACACACACACACTCCTCTGTCCACAAATAAGGTGGAAAATTCTGAGAGGCCATTTGTGCACAGTTCTAGATCTTACTGTCAGTCTGGGAGGCTTCTACAATGTGTACAATGGAGAAACAGAGGAGGGCATCTTGTCTCTTGACTCTTAGAACAGCAGCTGAGGCCAGCACATTATAGCCTCTGCCTCCTTTCATTTTTTCCAGCTTCCCCTGCTGTGCTTCCCCCATCACAGTCCATCCCTTACAATGGCTGACCCTTTCCCTTGTCTCCAATGACCCCAGCATAAAGGACAGCTTTTGTTCCTTCTCAAATGCGTTCCAGAGCCAAGAGGGAACTAGTAAGCTAGCCTTTCTCTGCAGGACCTACATCATTGGCATTGTTAGGATTAGGCCTTGTTAAACCCCCAGAGTTCATTTTTTCTTTTGAATTTTTATTTGCAATTACAACAAAACAAAACTGTGTGTGTGTGTGTGTGAGTGTAAAGATAAAATAACTGCAATCTAAAACCACTAAGAAATGTATTCATTTGCATAAGAAAAATGTATTCATCTGCAATTATCATTTATAACACCATTGATTTTTTAAAAGTTTTGCAGTTCTCTTTCAAATACTTATTTTAATATTAACAGCCCATACAAAACTATAGAATATGCATTCAAAAGCAGCAAGAGTACAAAATTCTTCAGCCCATGCAAGGATATTTTTTGTTTATCCCTGTTACTACTGCCTTGTGACATTTTGTTTGCTAAAAAGAGACAGCAGGAATCAGTTTGTGGGACTCTCTCAACATGCTTAGGATGCATCAATCACCAAGGAGTAAGAGCCATTGAACTTCTGAATAGACATGTATAGGATTGTGTGCTTAACTGCTTCCTTTCTTAGTATTTAGCGAGTCTGGCTAGACCATTCCTGAATGACTGTACTCGTGATGAGAGACAATCACACTTGTGTTCAAAGGAGCTGTCTGCCCAAGAGTTTCAAAGGGACAATCTATACAGCATGTTAAACATGCTTTTAAAAAGAGTGTTTAAACTGGCCACTTTTATTTTAAGGCAAAGCAGGCCTTTGGAGCCCCAGCCCTGAATACAGGCCATGCAGTTTACCTGCCAGTCTCCAACAGAGGGCTGTATGCCTTCCCCATAGTAAATAGGCAAGCAAATGGAAATTGAAAAATAATTTTGGCAGAAAAATAGTGTTTGGGTGTGTGCGCATGTGCATATATGTGGCTAGTTTAACTACACATTTTAAAAATCATGATTACTGTAATGTGTAATTTAGTTTAATGCTCCCCAGTCAGTTTTAGTGCAAAATACTGGAAAGAAGAGAGAAATTGGTCCAAGCTGTTCTGAAAAGGGCCTAAAGTGTAGGTGTCACAGACCTTGTGCAGGTGTTCAGGAGAAGGCACAAGGCCCTGAAGTGTGTGCTGGAACACAGCTGTGCATGCTTACCTCACCCCATTACACCTCTAGCCCCTCAATTCAGACCTTGTCTGCAGAACCAGCAATGTCTGAACAGGAATCCTGCTCACCTTTGCTGCAGCGTGAGGAGAAAGCTCGGTGTGACTGTGAGTTCTGCTTTATCAAGAAGAAGTCATGGTGAAGAAGCAACCTGCCATGCGTTCTCTTGAATGGCTGAACAGGGCTTTAATCACAGTAGGGGACAAAGCCGCGCTCCCATCTCATTCATTTAGAGAGGATGAGTTTGTTTCCTCCTCACTTTGTAATCTCTTCCTTTTTCCTTTCAGTATGTTGTTGCTCTGTGCTGTCATTGCATGTGGCAAAAGCATCAGTCCTGTTCACAGGACTGCATAATTATGCAGTGTGGTAGCATTACTACTCTCTAAACAGGTTGAATACCAGGTCTATAATCAAAGCCATTGCACAAAGGACATACCTTTCATTTCTATTTGCTAAAATATGCATGTTGTGCATTTTAAAAATAAATAATATGCCGTTGTTAATCTATTCTTGTGCTGTTACAGGTGCATGATGGGCCCAACACACACTTTCGTCTCATTGCAGTATATTGTGGTGTAACACCCTTTTCTTTCACTTCCTCTGGAAGCTCTGTTACTCTCCACTTCATCACTGATGGCTCTGTAAATGGAAAGGGTTTCCTTTTGAACTGGTATGCTGTGGATGCTGTTACAGATTCTGGAAATACCATTCCAATAGGTTTGTGTGCCATCCATGTAGCTAACCCACCTGTGATCATAAGTGACAAATAACTGATAGAAATAAAGACAAAGAAGGTGTATAATTCTTGGCATACGGTTGGTTGATCTGCAGGCTGGAATGGTATACAAACAAGAATTGTTCCTCTGAACAAAATTCACATTTTTTTTTCATAAAAAGGATGAAAAGAACTTGAAAGTTTTTTTTTAAAAAAAATGTAGGAAAAAAACATAACTGAGAGATTTACCCATCTAGGCTTAGGACTTCGAATGTTTATATCTTAAAAGATTGAATCCTTGTAGAATCAGCCATGTTTGTAGCTCTGAATCAGCATTATCTACATGTGTGTGTGTGTTTGACAGTCCCCTCATCTTTAACCACTCTAGAGCAGGTACAGCATAGTCCTCTCCTTGTTTAGGACAGCTGTACCTACTGAATTTGACTACATGAAGATAGGTAGAGCCTCTGAGCTCTCTACCTTGGAATGTTATATTTTGATCCCAATACCTGCATGCACACACAGAAAGGAGCAATTCTGTTCAACGAAAGGAAAATATAGCTCTTTTTAAAAGCTAATTTGCTCTTTTGCCATAGGTGCCTGTGGAGGGTTCTCAATTACCCGTGAAATGCCTTTATTCCTATTCTCACCTGACTGGCCTGCAAACTACAGAAATCATGCCAATTGCTCATGGGTTATCAGAGCACCAGACTCCACAGTGGAGTTCAACATCCTTTCCATGGACATTGAGTCTCATCACTCGTGTAACTATGATTCACTTGTCTTCAGAGATGGTGAGAATTGTCTGCACATTCACCTTCCACTACTGTGGGCTGCAAATGGAAGGGCCAGGTTATTAAACCCCTGTGATTTCTATCAAAAATTAAAATTAAAGTGACTTCCCATGCTTTCCGGCTTCATCCACCTGAATACAGTGGTACCTTGGCTCACGAATTTAATCCATTCCAGGACTCCGGTCATGACCCAAATTGGTTGTGACCAAGTCAAATTTCCCCATTAGGCTCAAAGTAAATAAGGTAAATAAGTAAATAAACCAATCTGTTCTGCAACTATTTGCAGCATGAACGCGACCATCTCCCCCTCCCCCCCAGCACAACCGTGATCGCGCCGTGCAGGGAAGGTGGGCGCGCTTGTGATTGTCACCTGATGCAGAGTTCGCAACCTGTGGCAAAGTTTTTATGAAATTTCTGTTCGTGACCCGATTTGGTTGTGAATTGAGGAGTTTGTGAGCCGAGGTACCACTGTATCTGCCTCTGGCTTAGCTAGCCTGGACTCTTCCATGTAGTAAGAGGCTTCCACATTTTGCTGCTACTACACAGTAGCTGTTTCCAGTGGCCACCGTGTGCATTTTCTAATGTATAAACTGGCCCTTAGACAACTCTGAGTTTGATATTCAAGTATATTTTAATGTTTCATCTTTACTTATCCCTTAAGTCCAACTGCATAGAGCATTCCAGAATGTGTTGCCCCTTCCTGAACTGCATGGCTTGAACTAAATTACCTGACATGGTGTGGCTATCAATGTAATTAAACTGGTGAACCGAATGAGAACTTCTAACCATAACATTTCTTCTTCAAATAAAGTATAGTTCCTTCACAGGTAACAAGTATAGAAACCAATGCACCCCATTCCATTATTTTTCATAGGAGACAATGTTCTGGCACCAGTTCTCTCCACTCTATGTGGTCGTGAAATTCCCGGACCAATAAGATCAACGGGGGATGCCATGTTTGTTCAATTCACTTCTGATAGAAGTATTACTGGTGCTGGATTTAATGCTTCTTATCACAAAAGTAAGTTGCCTTTTAAAATATTTCTATGTGCTTTTAAATCAGATTTAAGTGGGGAAGTAGAAAGTAAATAGACTTGTTTTATTGGATTGACTTCAAGCAACACAATAGCCCACATTCTGAGTAGGGGTTGAGTATGGGATGTTATTGACAATGGCTTGTTGTTTCATGTTGTCTGAATCCAACTATGCTAACAATGATTGGTTAAGCCAAAATAACCTACAGTTCACAACCCATGAAGAGAACCCCTGGGAATGGGGACAGAATGGAATCCCAAATCAAAGGGGACTCATGAGGCCACCTAGAAAGGCCTCAGCAATTATAGGCGGCCTATAAATACATGCAAATAAAATACATGTAATCTGCCTTGAGTCCCCATCTTGGGCACAGGAGGAATATAAATAAACAAGTATGATGCTCATGACGATCATGATGATGTTGGGAGCCTGCAGTACCTATTCTGCCACCAAGCAACCTGCTAACACTCTGATCATATTTTTTTGCATTAATCTATCTATTCTTTACACTTATATCTTGCCTTATTTCTTCTCACAAGGAACCTAAGCTGGCTTACTATGAATCTGTTGCATTGTGTTTTTCAAAAAACATTCCCCATTCATTATTTTTCCAAACTCGAGTTCAGAACAGCTGCAAAATTGCTAAAGAAGGAGTTGACAATAGTCATTTGGCACATGCGTGCTAACAAGCCCTTTCTCTTATGGGCAGATTTGCAAGCTGCCTTTGCAATATTGAGGGTGGTTTTGTTTTTTCACAAAAGAACATGGAGCATAAATTGCATATAATGAAACAGTGCAAAGTTTTTATGTGGTTAGAAATTGCATAAGAGCCTTAGTGTGCGAAAAGAAAGCACCCACCCTGATGTACATGATGAAAGCTCAGTTGGCCCGAGTTGGGCTTTGAAGAGAAAAATGTCTCTAATTTGGACATACTTTTAAATGATAGAAAGGGAGATTCCTTCTAGTTCTTTGCAGATTTCTAAACAATGGCTCTGTAAAAAGTTGCATTTTCCTCTGTCAAGGAATTAATACCTCAGATGCTGTAGGTTTAGCATGTCAGCAACAAAATGTGGCAGTTTGGCTACGAGGAGCTAGCCAGCTAGTTGGCCAGACAGAGCTGAACTGAAATGCTACGTTCAATATTCTCTCCCTCTATCTGATACTTTAGTTGTGTGTGTGTCAGGGGAGGAACCTCAGTCCCAGGGCCAAATCCAGCCCTGCTGAAATCCTAGTCTGACTCCCCAGGTTTCCGTCCTCAGGCCAAATCAACTCTCCTCCGATCACTTTGTCTGATGGTTTCCTGGGCTTTGTGCAGCTTTTCCTCATACTAAAAGGTTAACATCTCTTTTGTAAGATTAAGTTACTGGAAGGAAAATTTTAAAGCTGTAATTTGTTGCTGGGGGTGGGATGGGGGGATTGTAATTTAAGACATGCTTTTTTTATCCCTCTGGCCATACTCCTCTTTCCCAATGACCCCCTTCACTACTGGAATGCAGCCTCCGAGAGCTTCTCCAAAGTGAATTCAGCCCTCCATCTGGAAGGGGTTCTCCCACTTTAGGGAGTCACTTGGCAGATATTTCTGTTGCAGTGTGTGTCCGGGCTAACTGATACAAAGCTTTTTAAAATGGAAAAACCTTGTGCATATTTACTGGTAAGCTATACAATATACACGTGATTCTTTAAAAAATATGATTTGCACACAGACATACATTCCATGTGCTTAAGTGTTTGTGTACTAAAGTGTTTTTTTTTTTGAAAACTTCTTAATATGGCAAAATCACAAAATAAGGTATTAATTCCAAGAAAGGTTGCATATAGTTTGCCCTATTCTGACCATGTGTGGAAGTCCATGGGACATCACAGCCGCCTCAGAGTGGCTTAGGAACAGACAACTTAAGTGGTAAAATCTGGTTGCAAGATTTTGGATAGTTCCAAGTGATGTTAGGATGGTCATGTGTCCCCTATGACAGTGATGGCAAGCCTTTTAGAGACCGAGTGTTCAAATTGCAATCCAAAACCCACTTATTTATCGCAAAGAGCCAACACTGCAATCAAATCTGAAAACAGAGGTTTTAGTTTAGAAAAAACAACTCACAGCCAGTCCAAGCAAATATGTGTGTGTGTGTCCTTGGCGGCACATGGAATGCCCATGCGAAACCTTGAACAAGTAGCTGCTAATGAGTTGTGGCTTGTGAGGTCATTGCCTGGTGCCACTACTCCTTTCTGAGCATGCTCATGGCCCCTATGGGCGAAGTTATCTGAAGCTTGGCTGCTGGGATGATGGTGGGGTGACTTGGCTCGCATGCTGACAGAGAGGGCTCTGTATGCCCGCTGTGGCATGTGTGCCATAAGTTCACCGGCACTGCCCTAGCCCTACCCTGGTGCACTCCCCTAACCCTAATACAGGGGCAAAATTCCACACAAAAGAGGGCAATTTTGAAAAAGCCTTGCTTAAATAGCTTTTTCTGCACTGCTCATCTTTTCTGCCCATTCTAAACACTTTCCAACCATCAAAATCATGCCAGGAAACCACGTTTTTGTAACCCTAACCCTACCCTGGGACACACCCCTAACCCTAATAGAGGGTGAAAGTTCCACTGAAAAGAGAGGGATTTTGAAAAAGCCTTCCTTGAGTAGCCTTTTTCGCACTGCTCATCACTTCTGCGCATTCTAAACACATTCCAACCATCAAAATCATGCCAGGACACCTCGTTTTTGTAACCCTAACCCAGTCATAGTGAACCTTTTAGAGCCCGAGTACCCAAACTGGAACCCAAAAGCCACTTATTTATCACAAAGTGCCAACACTGCAATAAAACCTTAAAATGGAGGTTTTAGTTTAGAAAAACAACCCACAGCCAGTCCAAGCAAATTTATACATATCCTTGACAGCACACTCACTGGCCATGTGAAAACTCGGGCAAGTCGTGGCTAATGAGTCATGGCTCATGACGTCATCACCGGGCGCCACTACTGCTTCCCGAGCATGCGCATGGCCCCTATGTGTGCTGTTATCTGATGCTCGGCTGCTGGGGTGATGCTGGGGCGACTTCACTTGCATGCGGACAGGGCGGGCTCTGTGTGGCCGCTGTGGCACGCATGCCATAGGTCTGCCACCACTGCCCTATGATAGAGGAGAATCTATTTGAACAGCTGTCTAATCTCACTCTAGTACAAAGTTAGTAAACCTAGGGCCTGTTGCCCATCCATAGTTAGCCCATGGACAGCAGACAAAAGATGGACATGCACAGGTCACCTGGTCAAAGTCCTTCACAATATAGTGAGATATGTCATATTTCTGTTTTGCTTTCTTTTGTGATGATGTATTCCCTGTTTGGAGCTTCATAAGTGTCCATCCAAGCATACAAATTTCTGAAGCTCAACTGAGATATTTTCTTCTTCTCAAATCAGACTATTCCTTCCAAGCTCTGCCATCTTCATGAAGAGAGGAAAGTCTGAAGAACAATAGACCTGAAACTTGTCATTCTGTTGCTGCAGTCAGCTCCAGCCCTGAGTTGTCTCTTCTGACGAGCAGGCTAGGGAAGCATGAGCCACTGGTGTTTAGTGGGAGGTTCCTTCAGGATATCTAGGCCAGAAGGTGCTGTCTCGAGGGATCCCCGTTTGCTGTGTGTTTTCCTGGTTTCATAGACTCCTCACTTGCAATCCTGTGACAATAGAGAGGCGCCAAATGAAAAGGGAGGCAATTTCCTGAGAGGGGATGGTTGATAGGGAAAGAAGTCATTCTCAGGAAATGGTGACTTGTGATCTTTAAAAGCACATGGGTATGGAGAAGACGAGTTAGTTATCATCCATGATAACCAAGCATATTTTTAAAGCCTGCTTCATGGTTTAAGTGTTTGGCTGAAGTCAGATTTGTTTGAAAGACCTGCAGCAGAATTCCTCCCAGCCCTTGTGACCATGATGAATAGATTGAGGCTGTTTTCCATTGGTTGTCCCTCTGCTTTGGTTTGGCGATTTAGTTTCCTAAATTGAGTTGGCTCTTGAATGGGGAAGTGGGACTGGCAAATAGAGAAATTATGGACCACCAGAAAGGTCAACTTAGTTTGACTGCAAGCTATGTCAATCCTTTTAGGGATCTGTTGCACTCTAGCTGCCATTTTAATTTTTTATATTTCTTTTTAACAAAACTGAAAGTGTGACCTGCATGGTATGGGGAGAGGTCCAGAGTGAAAGATGGCTCCCAGATCTCCCAAAGTTACCGTATACTGTCAAATCTCTGTTTTGTAGACTTGGATGAGAGAGGCATTAAATATAATTGAATAATTTTAAAGTGCTTTTCTTGGTGGGCTCTCTTTGCCTTTTTTCAGGTTGTGGTGGCTACTTGCAAGCTGACAGAGGTGTGATCACTTCACCCAACTATCCGCAGACATATCCTCCTAACTTTAATTGCTCCTGGCATGTTCTGGTTACTGCTGGCTTCATCATTGGTGTCCACTTTGAGCAGCCATTCGAGGTGCTGAATGATGATGCTTCCTGCAGCCATGGAGATTATATTGAGGTGAAGCAAACATGACTAGCTCAGAGCCATAAAGCAAAATTAAACATGGTGTCCATGGCAGCTTTTTCCCCATGACAAATGGAAAGCTGCTGGGGGCAGGAGGGATTTTTCACTGGAGCCAGTGTGTGTGAAGAAGAGAGAAAAAGACCTGCTATTTCCAGTAGCAAAAACAAGTACACAACACTAAAGCATGCATTTTAGCAGCTCCTATAATTTAATTTGCTTTCTAGTAAAAGGTGAGAATAATATAGAAATGAGGTTCTGCTTGTCTTCTTTTTCTTCTTCAGTGCCTTTCAAGCAGGCCAAGATGAACCTACCTAGTGTCCCAGTCCAGAGATTCACACCCCTTTTCCTGAACCAGCAATTGTCTGGTGATTTCCTGGCTTTTGTACATGTATTACCCCATTCTTAAAAGCTGCTTCTCCTAAATTTTAGTTACTGGCAGTAAGAGTTTCAAGCTAAAATCGGAAGGAATGTTGATCTCACTTGTCCTTGAGTACATCTCCCAAATTGTGTTTGACACCCAACCTGAAAGAGGTTTCACATCCCTGTTTTAAATGATGTGCTAATATTACTGTATTAACAGTCAAAAGTGAATCTAAATACACAAATGGTTTATGAAGGGATTAAATACTTATGCTAATAGCTGTGTTGGTTAGAAAGCCAAGAGGTTTTCACAATGTATTGATCAGTGAATCTAATGAATGGTGAATAGCAACCTGTGTGAGGTGTGTTATATATCATGTGTCAGCCATGTATGCAGGGTGGCTGAGACTCATTCTTGGTGGGTCCCCATTATAAAAATAGTGGCAATTCTTATGTTATGGGCTGAACTATAAACACTCACTAGGCTTAGAACACAATCTTAGGAATGCTTAGACTGAAAAAGTCCTACAATTCCTAGCATTCCCCAGCAAGCATGTGGAATGATCTTAGCCTGAAAAGGCTGGGTTAAAATCTCAGGTCTTCCCTGGATGCTTAAGTGACACCAAATGAGGAATTGTTTGTCAGTCTCCATTTGTAGTATGAGAATCATGCTTTGATCTTGCCTATTTGTTGTGAAGCTACGATAAAACTTGCAAAGCACCAGTCATGTTGAAAATTAGTGTATGCAATTTTTATGATTGTATGCTTCCTAGGACACTTTTATTGGACTAATTTCTTGGTAAACTGACCTCTTTAGCAAGGTTCTCAATTTACCTTTTAGCTCAGAAATGGACCCGATCTTTCTGCCCCACCATTAGGACCCAGTGGCAGGACTGGGCGCTTCTGTGGTTCAAGCACCTTTTCTACAATGTATACCACTGACAACCAGCTGTTTATCCACTTCATTTCTGATAGCAATAATGGAGGGCAAGGCTTCAGACTGAAGTACGAGGCAAAGGGGCTTGGTAAGTATCGATCGTGGTGGTGCTGGTGGTGATTCTGATGCTGTCCTTCATTATCAAATCACAGGGTGATATAGAAATTTATTTATCCTTGTATTTGTGTGCCACCCCATAGTCAGAAGGCTCTCTGCGTGGCTTATATCACAGTCATAACAATGATACAGATAAAAAGAGCTAATGATAGCTAAAACTGTAATACTTAATATAGTGAAAACGCTATTATAAAATACAGCAGGAGGATAAGCACAATATAAACAGCAGTACAATAAACCACTAATGAAATGCACATTAGAGCAGGCTCCATGCTTCAGATCTTCCTCCTCCAAGGTGTGCACAGTTGAGTGATGGAGCAGGTGGGACAGGTGGGTGTGGCTTGCTCCACCCTCATGAAATTAAGGGGGGAATTGCCAGGTAAGGCTCTTACTATGCATGTGTATTCTACTATTTAAAGTCATCTTTTTTCCTGTTCCTAGCTTGTGGAGGAAACATCTATATCAGTCAAAACAATCCCTCTGGCTACATCTCCTCACCCAACTATCCTGGCAATTACCCACCACATGCTGATTGTGTCTGGATTATAATTGCTCCCTCTGGGGAAGCAGTGGAGCTGCAGTTTGAAGATCAGTTTGATATTCAGGCTTCAACCAAGTATTCACACATTATTACATTTGTTGCTTTTATGTTTTCTAAAGTTATCACTGAGGTTTTTATTTGATGAACTGAGCCTCTGTGTTAAGAGATGGCTTTCGTTACTCTTGTAGATCTGGAGAACTTGAGTTCGTACAATCCTTGGTCTTGAGCTTGTGTGTGGTAAAGCCACCACAAAGCCATTTGGCTGTTTTGTGGGATTAAGGAGGTCTTGTTAGCACTAACATGCCTTCTGTTCTTGACTGTCGCATCTGTTTCCAGCCTCAATAAGGGATGGAAAGGACTGTCAGATGTCTCCCTAGAAAAGATGATTGGATCCTTCTGAGATACACAATGGAGAGAAACTCCCTTCCCAATTGTCACATTGTTTTTTCCCATTAGGGAAGGAAGGTCACCTAGATGGAATGTGTCGTGATAGAATTAGGAGCAGCCAGAGTGACTTACAGCCACAGGCCTGGAAATGCTAGAAATCCAGGAAAACCTCTAGAAGCCAAAGTTGACACTCCTTTCTTTGCTTTAGCTGCTTGTTATGTTCTTCTTTGAGACCTACTTGATTCACACCAGTAGGAGTGGAGAGTTGGGCAGAGCCATTTTAGAGATTACAGGAACAAGTGAATGATCCTTATTTGTCAACAGTATTTAAATCCCCATTTATAATGTTGTGGTACATTGAAAATAAGTGAATGATCCTTATTTGTCAACAGTATTTAAATCCCCATTTATAATGTTATGGTACATAGAAAATAAAATCCAAACAACTATTGGAAGGAGACAAAAGATTTAAGTTTTCAGTTTTGCTTGCCCCGTTATATTTCATGAAGAAAAAAAATGTTGGTAGTAAGATTTATTTGCTTTCTTAACCATTGCCTCTGTTCCCTTCCAACTCAAAATCATCATTATGGAGCTGTTTTCATAGTTATATGTGTCTGAAGGGAGGTCTGATTGCTTTTACACCAATTTTCAAAGATGCTTTATTGTGCTAATTGCATTAATAATTAACATTGCAATGAGACAGAAGTAAGCATTCTGAATCCACAGTTTCCTAACCAGGGCTCAAAGCTGCTTTTCTGTGTTTCAAACCAGAGGAAAAAGAACTGTGATGGTATGACCTACTTCGATATTTCTTTCTCTGCAATTGATTTAGATCTCAGATGACCCTAGCTATTATCGATTGCTAATCTCTCTGTCCCTTTGCCTTTTCTCCCCTTCAAAATTAAACTGAAAGCTTTTAGTTCCATGTTTCAGATGAAATGTTGTTCAGATGAAATTACTTCTTGAAATGTCACAAAGCACATTTTCCCCGTTCAAACACAGATATCTGTTGCCTTCTTTTAGCTGCACATTAAGTTATCTAGAATTACGAGATGGTGCTGACTCCAGTGCAGCAGAGATTGCCAAGCTCTGTGGGAATGCTCTGCCAGCCGCTCAAAGATCTTCAGGTTCCACCTTATATATGAGATTTTGGTCAGATGGTGTAGAAACAAAAGCTGGATTTAATGTCAAATATTCAAGAGGTAAAATGAACATTTAATCACTGACATTTGCATTCTTGTGAAATCCAAAGCAGAAAGAATAAATTTAGGAATTAGATTTTAAACTTTGAATTGAATCAACCTGGCTAAGCCCTACAAATTGGTTAACTCCCCGCCTTCTCTCTCAATTTCACAATCTATTTAAATTAAAGCAGAATTGTTTTAACCCTGGAAAAGGTTTCTATAACCTAATGAAGAATGTGGGTACAGTTCCCAAATGTGTTTTGGAAAAGCTTTAGCAAAAATTCATATTTACAATTATCGGTTAATAGAAGAGCACACATTTGCATTGAGTAATAGGATAATATTCGGGTATCAGATGTCAAGAAATGTCCCCTAACATTAAACTTAAAGAAAAAGAAGGTTGTGTTATAAGAGGATCATACAAAGCCATGAAGGATAAAGCTATCAATGGCAACTAACGATGATGGCTGATTATTTTCTCTAGTATAAGAGCCAGTATCTTTTTGATATCAGTTACCAGGCAGCACAAGTTCAAGGGTATGGTCCTGCTTGTGGACTTCCCAAGGGCATCTGCTTGTCCTCTGTGGGAACAAAATGTTGGACTAGATGAAGCTTTAGTTTGTTCCAGCAAGGCATATCTTCTTTTCTAAGTATTATGGTCATTGTGGGATCAGTCAGAGGTAGAAGCTTCTGCCTAAGGAACATGAATAGTTTGTGTTCTGGAGTCAAGTATCAGTCAGCGGTACTTCACAGCATGTTAGATGACACAAGCATCTCTGGTAAGAATGGGACTGTTCTTGGCCAAAAGAAGCTGGAACTCAGATCCTCAGATGGAAAAAAAGCTCCATTCAGTGTTTTCTCCTGCATTATTTGATGGGAAAGAATAATACAAAATGTTAACAATAAGACAGGGGAACATAATTAGTCTGTTGTTTTTGTTTTGCAGCTGTATGTGGTGGAACGTTGATAGGACAAAATGGGATCATTGAAAGTGTTGGATTTCCTGATCTTCACTATCCAAACAATTTGCTGTGTGAATGGTTTCTTCATGGACCAGAGGGCCATTATCTCACCATTCATTTTGAAGGGCTAGATATTCAGAACTCATCAGAGTGTGGAAAAGACTACTTGGAAATCCATGAAAATCATGGCTCAGGTCTGTGAAAGAGTGCTTATCCTCTCATGCCCTGGCTGGGTAACGAACACCCTGATGTCATCTCCTGCTGCAGGAACGGGAGTTCTTCAGGGCACACAGGTTTTTTTTCTATGCCAGTTGCCTGTCAAACCTTTCCTATCCTCTTTGGCATATACTGTCCCTGGCAGCACCTCCCCACTCCCTGCACTGAAACCATCTATCAGTGTTCAGTAGATAGAGTCATCTTTATGGTCCATAAAATGTCACACAAGCCCATTGGAAACCATGCTTTATCTTTATACCTTCTCCCATGCACATGAGAAAGAGCTAGAAGAAGTTAGTTACATAGCCAGAAGTGTGGCTTCTAGATCGAGAGAGGTATTACTACCACTCTATATGACTCTGGTGCGCCTGCAACTGGAGTATTGTGCTAGTTTTGGGCCCCTCATTACAGGAAGGATATAGCTAGGTTAGAGTCAGTGCAGCGTAGGGCCACAAGGTTGGTGGCCGGTTTGCAGGGGATGGGGTATGAGGCGAGACTGAGGGAACTGGGTCTCTTCAGCCTGCAGAAGAGGAGACTCAGAGGGGATCTTTTGGCAACATACGGGTATGTGAGGGGATGTCACACGGAGATGGGTAGAGACCTGTTCTCCCCTGCAGAGGAAGGTAGGATGTGCTCCAGCGGAGCAAAGTTCAGGGAATCAAGGTTCCATTTAGATGCCAGGAAGCACTTTCTGACAGTTAGGACCCTGAGGGTATGGAATAGGCTTCCACGGGAGGTCGTTGACACCCCATCGGTGAGGGTGTTCAAAGATAGGCTGGACATGCCCAAGGTGGGCATGTTGTGAGCAGAGCCGACTGGAGCCAGGGTTCAGACTAGATGGCCCTGGAGGTCCCTTCTGACTCACTCTGTTTCTATGTTTGTTTCTATGTTTTTATGTTAAGCCTCAGGCATCCTTTCCTGCACCTGGTTGGTGTTACATAGCACAGAATAGTTTGTGCTTTCAGTGTGAAGTGATAACCAAGTGATGTCTACGTACCACAGAGTATGATCTTCATGTTTTTAAGGCAGGCCAAAATCAAATTATACAGTTGTTTCCCTAGCTCTTGCTCCCTCCCTCCCTCCCTCCCTCCCTCCTTCTAAGCATAGTTAAGGGCACAAATCTATGCATGTTTAGATGGAACAAAGTTCTACAGTTCCCAGTATTCTCCAGCCAGCCATGCTGGAGGATGCTGAGATTTGTAGGACTTTGATTCATCTAAACATGCATAAGATCGCACCCCAATACTTTTTAAATCAACAGTGCAGTTTTTGCTTTAATATCTGGTAGCCTGGATTAAATTGGCTCTGAGTTACTCTTATTTATTTGTCACTCTTCTTGAGCTGATAAATAGGGTGTGTGTTTTCATGGCAAGGTAGAGATCACCTTGTTAATTACTGATTCTTTTTACTTACCTAGGGAATTTATTAGGTAAATACTGTGGTAATACCATACCTCCCACGTTGGACACTTCTGGCAACCTGGCTTATATCAAGTTTGTCACTGATGGATCGATCAATGCTCCTGGATTCAGGTTGCATTTTGCTGCTAATGCTGAAGGTTAGATGCCACATTTTCATTTATTTTCAAATCATGTCTTTTCTCCAATACATATGGGGATGCACAGCTTCTGCTTATTACAAAGTAGCAGATATAGCTATCTGGGTTTTAAAATGTAACAGTGTGGCTCTCCTTTCTTATTTTGCCATTTGTAATTTTTTAATGCTGGCTAGGAGTTATGGGACTTGCAGTCCAGCACGTCTGGAGGGCATCAGGTTGGCAAAGGCTGGTAGAGTTAATAAGAGGTGGGGGTTTTTTGACTACCAGTGGCCAACAATCATCTGTTTGATGCCTTCTTCTCCCAGGCATTTAAGGGCATGTCATGTTGAGGCATTTATGCCATCTACTTTTTAACAAGTGTACTTGTATGAAAATGTTGAATAGATTTTTGAGATGTCTATATTGGAAAAATAAGCTGATTTGATGCTATTTTATTGTATTTGTGCACTGTCTTATGAATTGTTGGCTCTTAAGTGGTATAGAAATGAAATAAATAATAACACCTTTTAACCTAAGATATCATGCAAAATGTCCTGAACTGGATTTCCAGATCTTTTATGAAATAAGAAGAAGCATGGAAACAAGTCAACCACTACGAGCATCTAAATGTTTCTTGTTCTCTTTCATTTATGGTTTCCTGAGAACCACATTCCATTTTGCTTAGTTCTCAAGAAAACATCCATTCAGACTATTTCCTGTTTCTGTTGTTCTAGAGTGTGGCGGTGAACTTCATGGCCCTGCTGGGACATTTACCTCCCCCAACTTTCCAAATTCCTACCTGCACAGACGAAAATGTGAATGGAGAATCCACGTGCCCTTTGGACGTCGGGTCACCTTGACCATTAGTGACATTAATTTTGAATTCAGTCCGAACTGTAGTTCGAATTATTTGGCTGTAAGTGACAAGAAAAAGCAGGGGGGCACTATTATAGACTTTGGAAATGGCATATAAAATAAAATCAACTGCAAAAATAAGACAGGCACACATATCAAACATCTGTATTTACAGTTCAGTGAAAATGCACGTGGTACTAACAGATGGGGCTTTTACTGCATCATCCCCATTCCTTATTCACAGAATTGTATGGGGTATCCAGATTTCTTCAGGACTCACTTGCTACTTCTTGATTTTTCTGACCACTTATTCCATCTTTGTGTTCCTTATGAGGAAATTTGTAAAGAAGAAAAAGATGGAAAACCCAAATAATGCATTCTGTTGTGTAGTGTTCGATCTCCATCATCTGGAAGCAACTAAGTTTTATGCCTAAATCTTCTTCCTTATGCACCTAATGCCTTCATGTTAGGGACTATTTCTTTTGCAGTGGTTGCTATGACTACTGGGCTTGTCCCTTTTTTTTCCTGGCTGGAGGGTTGAGTCAGGGGGCTGGGGACATGGAAAGCAGGTGGGCAAGGCCACAGCAGTGTTGTTGGAGGGCTCAAAATGAGCAGCAGATTGCCAGGATTCTCTGACATGGGCTTGCTGCTGATGTCATGCCTGCTTTGCTTTTGCACTTGCTGCTTACTCTGTGCAAATGGGAAACTTGCACAAATTGAAAGTGAGCAGATAGATGAGTTGTGGAAATCTCCCCAAATGTGTGCAATTTTCCAGATTCAAGCCCTTCAGTCTGCTGAGGCAATTTGTGCAAATGTTGTGCACATCTGACAGTCTGCAAATATTCTAGCCAGGCATCGGCTCGCTCTCACATTTGGTGCTTGGAAGATGGCATGCTTGCATGCATGCAAGCAAAGTGGTGTATGTAAATGAGGGCTCAACTCATACTGATGCTCATCCTGCACTTTAGAGAAGCCCTTTTCTAAAGGGAAGTTTAGTTATTTTATTATTTTTGACAAACAGGTTCACAATGGCTTTGGTGAAAACAGACCCAGGCTATCCAAACTGTGTGGTAGGGTGACCCCAGGCACCCAGGTGCAGTCCTCTGGAAACAAGATAACAGTAATTATGGTGACAAGCCATGATGATTCAGGGGCAAGCTTCAGAATTGCGTATGCTTCTGACGAAGATGCAGGTAATACAACGTTTTGCTTTGCAACTTGCTGTGGCAAAAAGAATTAAGAGAATCTGAACCATTTTTGTTTTCTGTCTCTTGGCAAAGCTCCCATGGCTGAGCCACTACTTCTATTCTATAGACTGGAAACAGATTTAGACTGCAATCCCGTGCACACTTACCTGGGTGTAAGTCCCCGTCAGAATGGTGGGTTATACTTCTGAGTAAACATCCACAGGACTGGGCTGTGAGTCGTGCTTTTAATGGACCCACTGAAATCAGTGGGATATAAGTCACTCTATGCTGAGCTTGAATTGAAGCCTCCATCCAATTTAATGACAGGCTGCTAGCTAATATTTATTAGATTTATATCCTGCTTTTTTCATACCATGAAGTCAAAGTGGCTCAGAATTCACAGCCGGCATGGCCATTAGCTGAAATGTCTGGCTAAAAAATCTGGGAGTTGCATCTAACATAGCTGAGGACCATCTGATTGGGCAAAGCTGATCTACAGCCACTTCTTGGGCTTATAATCACAATGTAATTATGTGTGTACCCAAAACACTCTCTTACTTCTCCAAATGATGTTTCTTTAGTGTGTGGCAAGCATCTGCTCAGTTCAAATAGTGGAAACATCACTTCTCCTGGTTATGATGGTGCTAGCAACTATTCAAGCAACCTGAACTGTGAATGGGTTATCCAAAATCCTCAGCCAGCCACCACGACTATTTACCTTCTCTTTCAAGAGTTTCACTTGGAAAAGCAAACCAATTGCCAGAATGACTACTTGGAAATTCGACAAGGTGGGTTACCAGCTGGGAAGTATGGACTTTTTGAAGTTTATTCCATTTGTGTTTTACAGATGGGCATCTTTCATTCCTGTTTGTAAATGCACTTTTCCACTAATGCAAACCTGCACAAAGAAACATGCAAATATCCCCTAAAGTTAAAAAGGGAAGTCCACAGAATCCATGTGAGTAAAAGCAAAGCAAAAACCCAGTCTGCTGCAAAATCCACAAATCAGATTTATAGAGCCAAGCTTATTTGAATCTTGTGGGGGGAAATCTGACAAGGGCTTAAATTGGTCACAGTATCCTGAGTTGAGATGTAACAAATATCTGGCCATCTTAAAACTGAAAGTGGTTGCTCTTAGTCTCTTCTTTGTGACTGTGAAAAAAGATGGAAAGGGGTATGTTAAATCATTGCTATCAATAATACAAACAATGGATCAAGAAGCTAGGATGGCATACAGCAACTTAATAAATTTGTTTCTTTTCATGGACACAAGTTTAAATCGTTTTAGGTATTTATAACATAATGTCCTTATTTAGGGGATTCTGATGGAACACTCTTATATAGAATATGCAAAGCACCTCAAGAGCCAGTACTAATAGCAGCTCCTCAAATCTGGATACAGTTTTTAAGTGATGCTGAAAATGCAGACAAAGGATTTGTCATTCATTACTCTTCTCTAGGTAAGTTGAACACTACTTTGATTGTGTATGGCAAGTCCAACAGGATTTAACAATGGTCTAAAATGACTGAAGATACAGTCCACATAGCATGTTGTTGTTGTTAGTCACGAAGTCATGTCCAACCCATCGCAACCCCATGGACAACATCCCTCCAGGCCTTCCTGTCCTCCACCATCCCCTGGAGTCCACTCAAGCTCACACCAACTGCTTCAGTGACTCCAAATAGCCACCTCATTCTCTGCCGTCCCCTTCTTCTTTTGCCATCAATTGTTCCCAGCAGGCTCTTCTCCAGTGAGTCCTTCCTTCTCATTAGGTGGCCAAAGTATTTGAGTTTCATCTTCAGGATCTGGCCTTCCAAAGAGCAGTCAGGGTTGATCTCCTCTAGGACTGACCGGTTTGATCGCCTTGCGGTCCAAGGGACTCGCAGGAGTCTCCTCCAGCACCACAATTCAAAGGCCTCAGTTCTTCAGCGCTCAGCCTTCCTTATAGTCCAGCTTTCACAGCCATACATTGCAACTGGGAAAACCATAGCCCTGACTATACGCACTTTTGTTGGCAGGGTGATGTCTCTGCTTTTTAGTATGCTATCTAGATTTGCCATAGCTTTCCTCCCCAGGAGCAAGTGTCTTTTAATTTCTTGGCTGCTGTCCCTATCTGCGGTGATCTTGGAGCCCAGGAAAATGAAATCTGTCACTTCCTCCATTTCTTCCCCATCTATTTGCCAGGAAGTGAGAGGATCGGATGCCATGATCTTAGTTTTCTTAATATTGAGTTTCAAGCCAACTTTTGTGCTCTCCTCCTTCATCCGCATCAAGAGGCATAACATTGACTAACAGTGTAGAGAGATGGGGCAGAAGAAGGAGAGGGCTATCTAACAGTGGCGGGCCTGCAGGCTAGCTACCTGAGGGATGCTTGCTTCTTCTCCACCAACTTTACCAAGTACCACATTGTCTTCAGAGGCCCTCCTTTGGCAGGAGGTCGTTTGAAGTAGGATCACTTGGCCCCTTGTGCTGAATCTCTTGCATTTTAGCTCTGAAAGTTACCCATTTCCTAGTTCTTTGAGCATATGGAAGATATTTGCTGGAAATGTAATGTAGATACACTGTTTTTCATACAGAATCACCTAGAAACTTGTATAGGAAGGGTGCAAAACCTTTTTCAAGGAAGTGTTGAGTTCAATTTTAGAGACACTCTCTGGGGAGACATTGTAATGGTGGGTGGGTAAAAGCTAAAGGGGACAGGAGAGGGTAGAGGGCAAAAGAAATGGGGCCAAAACTGCTCCAAATATCTATCTTGGCTTAAAGCTTTTACTTGTGTCAGCTTAGTATTTCAACCTTTTAGAATGGGAGGAGGCCTGTCCAAAAGCTGGGAAAGCATGAAAAAATCAGTATCTGGGGAACAGGGATATGGCTTTCTGGGAGTCCCAAGAAGGCCAGATTAGGACCCTCCAAGCCTGGGGTTCTGTACCTCTTTTGTACAAGGTAGAAGATGGGCACATCTGCATTTCTATTGCTCGCACACCGACACTTCTTCAAATATGTTGAATTTTATTTCAGACTGTGGTGGTGTAAAGGAAGCTGAAAGTGGAATAATTTCAAGCCCCAACTTCCCAGAACCTTATAACAGTTCTAGCCATTGCTCCTGGCTCTTGATAGCACCAGAAGGACATACCATCAATGTGAGTAAACATGCTACATGACAAGGCAACTCTTAAATTGTTTGCCATTTGGACCATAAAAATAAGATTTTGCTGTCAGGCAAAGCGATACAAAACAGGTGAGATGATACACTTATTCCATGACTGCATAGCTTCGTAGCCACAAAGTCGAATGTGGCCCACAAACCATCATCCAGGGCTCAACAAATGCCAGGTGCTTGCTCCTTGCCTAGGACTGAAAAACAGGGATGTAACCAGACACTTTGGATGTAGCAGTAAAAGGCCCCTTGCACTGAATTTAGCTGAGTTGGTCACAATCGTGTGGGTCTGATTTAGTCTCACAATTTGATTTGTGCACATGGATATGCTTGTTATGATCAGCTCTTCATCAAACAGACCAGAAAGGTGGAGGGAGGGTTTGCAGTATTTTATGCTTCTGAGATGCCTTCCCTGGAATCATGGGATTATTCGGCCCATATGCTATAGATATTACACTATCTGTTTGTGTAAATTGAGTTTGCACAAAATGAGATCCATGATCAGCAATAAGAACAGCAATATATAAAATTAAGTGGAGATTACCCTGTACGTCTGTGTGTGTGTGTGCGCGCGCGCGCGCGCGCGTGTGTGTGTGTGTGAGAGAGAGAGAGAGAGAGGGGGGGGAGAGAGAGAGAGAGAACGTTTACTGCAAACTAAACCTACTTTATACATAACATTCCAATTCTGCCTTGAGGTCTTTGGTGAAAAAACAAAAATAAAACCAAACCAAACATATAGCTCAAGGTTTATTTTCAAAACTGGAGCAATCCAGAATTTCAGAAACAAATTTCTGTCTGTAACACCCATGGAGTTAAGCAGAAGTACCAGGATCATCTTGTGAAATTCTAGCGTGTTATTTGCTTCATTGAGCTAGAATGTTTAGCAGCCCTAGACGGTTCTGGTTTATTTTTGCAAATCCAGCTGCCTGCTCAGACTGTTCATTTCATTGCCTGCCCACAGCTTACTTTTGTGGCTTTCAAAATCCAGCGCCAAAGGAACTGTAAGCAGGACTCAGTCACAATTTTGAATGGTGGATCTCCTAGTTCCCCTGTCATAGGACGGTATTGTGGAATGACATCACCTGGCACCATTCTGTCAGGCTCCAATCAGTTATTAATAAACTTTAATTCTCACCAGTCTGGGCTGGGAGATGGTTTCTCTGCAACATGGACCTCTGATTCCTTAGGTAAGCAGAAAACCATTATACATTTCTTTCTGTTTATATGTAGAAGTAAAATCATTCCCACCTCTAGATATCTTCAAGGGTGTCAGGGTGGAGCTGGAGAATCAACTTTCCAGATTAAGCCACAATTTTAATTGAAAGAATGCAACAGTGATTCTTTGACTGTAATCTACCCTGCCACACCTCCTCTCATATTATCTAGTTTCTATTATCTCACATATCTCTATATGTTGGTTTTACCTTCTTGAAGGCAATTAGCACTTTTTAAAAAAGTGGTGCTATCTGACATACAAATCAGCAAAGCTCAAACTTGCCAACATTTTCTGAATTCCATCCTGAAATTCCAACTTGAGTCCACATCAGGCTGTAAGCTTCCTTTGTCTTTCTTTCTGCACAAAAATCTGGGCCAGTATTTTCCAAAGTTTCATCAATTGTTGCATTTTGAAATGCATGGATTGTTCTGTCATTGATTGAAGTATATTTGTGTGCATTTTTCAAAAGTGCATAGATTTTCTTACACATTTTTCAAATGTATATATGCGGTTAAACAGTTTTTTGGTCCATGAATCATACTGCATGTTTGGAAACGTACAGACATCTGTCACAGATCATGTCCAAGTTTGTGTCCAGTTAGAAGATGCAAACTAGGTAAATCAAGATCAAAAATGAAGTAAAACAAACTTCTACTTGTGAAGACAAAGGTATGGGAAGAATTTCCATGGATCCTGTATTTTTCTTCTCTTTTTTTGCCATAAGCAAAAACATTTATTGCATAGGCTTTTATGGTAGGAATACGTACTCTATCCTTTCTCTCTTTTTAATGTTCTGTCAGTCAGACAAGTTGTGTAGCTTGTATACAAAACGTTCAATCAAAATTGATCATAAATAAATAACTATTGTATATCATGAGCAACAATGACTCCATGATTCCATCTTCAGCTCTCTTCAGAATGGTTGTCTGACGTTTAGCCTGATGCAGGACCCAGCTTATGACCTGCACTAGTGTAACAACTGCTGCTTGCATGCGCTGTGAATTGGGTCCAATGCTGGTCAGAATAGGAACCGTTAGTGGAGCGGATTTCTCTTTCTCCCTTATGCCTTCCCAATCTGTTCCAGAGCAGGAGAGAAGGTGCATTGCACCAGTAGAAGTGCCACGACAGAAACCAGCAGAGGTCCTGTTGGATCAAACCAAGTATGTGATGAGAGGTGATACTCATAAGCGCTTCATGAGTGGATCTTGCTTATTAGCAGCATTTGTACACATCTCCCTTAGCCAAAAAGGCTCATAGAGTGGCTTAACTGAACTGCAGGTTTGTAGTCAGACTGGGAGACAGTGCTGCTTAAGATGACAGTGACCATGAGTGGGATGGTGTGTCTTGGTGCCCTGCAACAGCAGGGGGGTGGACCCGATGGCCTTCATGGCCCCTTCCAACTCTATTATTCTACGACTTTATGAAAACATTTTCAAGGCAGGCAGTAAAACAGCATCAGCCATTCAGGTTCTTTGGCTACACAACAACAGGCATACAACAAGGTCATAGGCCCTGTTCAAAAGAAGGCAATGGGGGAGCTCAGTAGAGAATTCTGCAATGATGGAGCTACCACTGAAAAGAACTGCAGGTCTGATCATGAAAAGAGGCCCTAATTCTCATCTGGAAAAGACCACTGTGAAGAAAATGAACTTTGGTTTTCGGCGCCAGGCGAAGACCTTTTTATTCAAACGTCATTTTAATTGCTAATATTATTTGCTTAATTCTTCGGCCAGGGTGACTTATTTTATAATGTTAATGTGTTTTATATTTTTAGTGTTTTATATTTTAACTGATGTTTTGTAAGCCGCCCCGAGGCTTCGGCAAATGGGGCGGCATAGAAATTTTTAAATAAATAAATAAAATAAATAAATAGAATGAACTTTGGTTTTCATGTATTTCTAATCACTTTCAAGAGCAAGTGATTCTATAACCTTTCATCATTTTTGCAGGATGTGGTGGCATCCTTCATTCTGAGAATGGTACCATCAGGTCTCCTCACTGGCCACAGAACTTTCCACAGAACATTAGGTGCTCATGGACAATCATTACTCACCAAGGCAAACATTTGGAGATGACCTTTGATGAAAACTTCCAGATACCGCATAGTAATGGACAGTGTCAGAGTAGTTATGTGAAGGTATGTACATCATTATGTTTGGGATTGCCATAATATTCACTTATTTGAGCTTGGAAAAGCAAACCTAAGACTGACCTACCTACAGGTAAGTTGTAGTATTTTCTCTGTAAAGCACTGTGCACACGGAGGCTATGGAAATGAATAATGAAATAGAATATAGAAAAGAATAAATAAGGGAACAAAATATGTTTAGAACCACAGAAGCATAGAAACAGAGCGAGTCAGAAGGGGTCTCCCGGGCCATCTAGTCTGACCCTCGGCTCTAGCCGGCTCTGCTCCAGACATGCCTACCAAGTGCAAGTCTAGCCTGTCCTTGAACATGTGTAAAGCCACACCATGTTTACATGAAGAACTTCAAGGTGTAGAAGAAAAATCAGATTAATGGGGGGAACAATCCTGTGGTCCAGGAGAGGGTTGCAGGGGTCACAGGATTCTGCTGAGTTCCTGCTGCAGACTACAGCTGCTGCTACAATTTCAGAGGAGGCGTGCCAGTATCCACTCCCTCCCACAGCCTCCTTGCAGCCGCAGCAGAAGGAACGATGCTGGCTGCTTCCTGAAGTTGCAGAAGTAGCACTGGAGGATTCAGCAGAGAGTTGTTTTGGTGAATAGAGAAAGAAGAGGAGAGGAAAGGCCAAGCTGTGATGGATGTGATGGCCTCTCCAGACCAGGTCCAGCCCCCATCAATCCATCCTCTTCAGATGGGCTATAAAAGACCTGTCTAGACAAAACAAAACACAGAAGCCTTCTGCTCAAAGAAGCCAAAAAACTTCATGAAGTTTCCTTCACTCAAAAGAGCTCCCCTATTGGTCATCAGTTTTTCAAGTTCATCAGAACATAGACAACTGAGGTGAGGAAATGGGACAGAGGTGAATCTCCACTGGTGAGGGGAACATCCAACTTGGTGGGAAAACCCCACAAGCATATCTTTACTGCTGGCACTAGGATCTGAATAGGGTGGACACTTGTGAATAACCAAGAACAACATTGAAAGAGGATACCTTTTTGCATAGAAATTGCACCTACTAATGTATAGTTATAGAGGCAAATTTAGAAATAATTATTATAATTGCAATAGAAACACAGTGCATCTCAACACAGTGACTAAAACTAAGATCAGGTGACCCCTGTGCCTCACTCAGTCTGCTGTCTGGATGCTGTTGATGGGCAACTTGAAGGCCAGCGTTTGCTCCTCTACTCTAGATTTGGACTGATCTTCAAATAGAGGATGTCTTCAGGACAGTCTTCTGTAAAAGAAGATGCAAGGTCACCCTAGTCCAAAACTCAATGAGGCAGGAGAGGAGTGGAGGTGAGGTGGGGTGTCCTTCAGTTTGTTATATCCAAAGCCCCTTCATTCACTGGTGAGGGTCCAGGAACACCCCACCCCCACCCCCAATGCCAGCCTGGAGCTGGTGTAGTGGTTTCCCTCCCCACTGGAGCCAACTCAAGAGTAAATGTAGGGAGTGGGTCGGGCACTTGCTCTTCTTTGATGTCTTTCCAAGGGTCTGTGTTATCAGATTCTGAAGAGGCGATGGGAGAACAGGAGGATCAAAGGAGTGCAGGAATCTTTGAAGTGCATTGCTTGCAGTTTCCCAGGCCAACCATAAGAGCAGACATATTTTGGAAGAGACAGGAGGGGACCCAAGAGAGGAAGGAGAGCTGCTGCCTTGCCTGGTCCATGACTCTGTGATATGGAGTCAGCAGAGGCATGCTGGGCAGTTAGAGGGCTTGTGTAGGTCTTGCTGGCTGGCTCTCCACCAGCAGGAGCCACCCTAAGTGTAAAGCTCACAGCGTTAATAAATGAAAAAGGATTCTCAAGAAGTTCCCAGTTTGGACTCAAAGCTCACTTGCTCTTTGCATGAGCAGAGGCTATCGTTCAGCCTGCTAGAGAGCTTTTTCAGTTGCATAGCCTTGGTATCAGTGAAGTGCCAATGAAGATCTGCGTTCTCAAGGACGGTCTGGTGCTTTGGTGCCCAGGACAAGAGCAGAAGGGTCTGGATCTGCCTCCCCACCACTCCTGGCCTGTGAGAGCTGGTAAAACTTTAGGCGATGGTAGACTGTCACTTTGCACACGCACAGATGCCCATCCAACCTGATTAGGATGGCACTGTCTGTCCTGGATCATGTTTCCATTGACAAGCTTCAGCCCTGCGGCATCTGGAGCAATAATAAAGCAAATACGAGTGGAGGGTTTTCACTTCTCCTCTGACTTGCCATTGAGTAACCACCATCAGCATGCAGGCACCTCCGTCTGGGAACAGAACACCTGTGCCAGAGGGTATGCCTGGATAGCTCATTTTGGAAATGAAGCAAGGCAGCTTGGCATATATTAGATCTAGTTTTTCCAAAGAAGATTTTTTGTAAAACAACTATGGAGGGAACCACCCGCACTACTTCTACATCAATCGGTAAGTTTTCCTTATTGCTACTTTAATGAAAACCCTGAACATGTTCAGAAATAAAATTTAATGTATCCTGCCCTGTCTCTGTACTTGTCTGGAAGGCACGTAAACTGAAGGGAGGGGAATGTTTGCCATTCTTTACAGTTCAATTGTTTTCTCAAGAATTTGTCAGCTGGTGCCTGTCGTATTCCGCTTGGGGAAGGCAATTTGACTCCCACATGTAATAAAGGGCAAGCATAATTGGTTATCATGTAGGAAGACTGCTTTTTTGCACAGAAAATGACAGGGCCAAAAATGGAACTTATTTTAGAAGCTATGAAAAATAAACCCCAGGCCATTTTAGCAACTGTGTTTTCCCTCTTGGATGCTAGAGGTAAACATGTTAACTAAGATGTTGATTCTGTGCATAAAAGAGCTTTTGTGAAGGAGCAGAGCTTTGCAGTGGTTTTGTCAGCAGTGGTTCTGTGGATGAAACAGGAGAAGGACCCTTAGAGGAGGGGGGCAGGATGCATTTTCTCTGAGAAAGGGAAACTGTCATCAAGGCATAAAGACAAAATCCAGGTCAGATTGACACATTTGAGAAAATGGGTCCTGATTCCTCTGATGTTTCCAAATGTTGCATCATAACAAGTTTTTGAAACCACAGTTGAAGCATTTCGATCTGGTTGACCTTAATGGGATTCAGTGGGTTCACTTCCATACACAGAAATCTTTCTAGAACAGACTTAGCTTCAGGGATGAATTAATGCTAACTGTGCCCTTAAGTTCCCAACCACACAAACTGAACATTGTATCCTGAGCTTAAAATTATTACTGGTATTTGACCAAAGCTCTGAATTGTGTATTGTGCGCATAAATTATTGAATTTCCATGCCATACAATCTATTAACAACCTGGAATGAACTTTTATACAAGCACAATAAGTGTGCTTTCAAGTGGGATATGTCAACAAGCACCTGGCAATTTAGCTTAACACTGCTCTGAAGCAAGTAGGGAAAGTCAGCAAGGTTTTCTTTTTCCACGCATGTGCTATTGGTGGTCACCTTGCTTGCTTGGAGTAGTGTCTCTTGTGCATCACATTGCCTGCTTAATTAAGTTTATCTTTTTTTAAATTGGGGTAGCATTTCAAAACATCTCTGAAATTTGGATTTTATAAATGTTGTAAAATGAGACTGAACAGGCTTTTCTTCATGCAACAGACACGTCCCATGCAGATGTGAGCTAAGGAGATAAGGCCCATCTTCAGATGCTACTACCATATGAAGCAAAAATTACCTGTTTCAAGACTGGGCTTTCTTGGTGGTAGCCCTTGTGTTTGTGGAAGATGATTAAGCAGATCCATTCAATTAGCCCTTTGAGCGGGCAGTAAGATATTCCTTTTTCATCATCCATCTGGGCTATAGATTTCTGTGGTTGTGACCATTTTTAGCTCTGGCTCTTGTTTAATGTTCTGGGAATTGTTTTCTGCTAATGACCAGTTTCTTTAATTAGGGCTCTGTTAGGGTTTCTTTTTTCACTTTTTAAAACCATTACTAGCCTCTTTGTGGATCTCAAGGTAGTAAAGTCATGCATAGATAGAAGGAAGAACAGTTAGGTTGAAAATACATAATATTACATCTTTATACAAATGAATATTGTAGAACAAAATATAGAATTATCCACGGGGAGAACAAAATGACAGAGATAGATAAAAGCACACGCACATACAGAACCATGTGGAATTCTCTTTGTGACTGCAAGGACAGAAAGGGAGCAGCCCCTTTTAATAACTCCTTCAAGGCTCTCCTTGTGCATCAAAGTGGTGACTTCTGGTAAAGCCAGTTCTGCCACCCCTTGGCTTCCCCACAGTCCCTCATATGAAACTACTCCATTCAAGTCTAACTATGACAGATGGAAGAGTTTGTCCCCTGAAAGCTTTCATACAAAGCATTTTCCCCTCCGCATGCAAATTTTGGGCTTGAGGCTGTGATTATGAGTTGGGTCTTGTGACAACTGAGAGATGTTTCCATGCTTTGGGCATGACGCTGCTGACCTACTGTTTGGATGACTTGCTGTTGGGAAGCAAATCAAGCCAGTATTGCCATATTACTGTTTATGTCTGGGGTTGGTACGAAAGCAAATAATCTCAGAGCTGTATTTAGATGTTGGAAAAATAGTAACACTTTCCCCTAGGTGCTGAGAGGAAACGCTAACGAACAGGAAGATGGAATATTAGCTGTTGGGTGTGGAGATTCAGCTCCTGAGGCTATTGTTGCCCCAGGAAATGTGATGACAACAGTGTTTCAGTCACGGGACATCCCAGGACGTGGTTTTTCTGCATCTTTTATAAGCCGTATGTAACTATGGAAAGATTGCTATGAAGATGTATGTGCAGATGTATTCAAGTGGAAGGGTTTCTGTCTGTCTTGCTTGCTTTTTAACATGTATATATAGCTCTTTAATGGCTTAAAACCCATCAAGGTCATGCAAAACAATTTGAAAAATGGGAAGTTTCACAAAGTACCTGCATGACTAAGGGTGCAATACTATACTTATTTAGACAGAAAAAGTGCTGCATCTCCCGGGCTGTGGCCTCTGTGGTGGCTGGGGCATGCTGGGAGCATGAGACTTTTTGCTTTCTAAATATGCATAAGATTGCACCTTGCATTAGGAGAATACATGGGATGAGGTCTCCTGTATTGTGGGTACAAACAGGAGGCTACTTTGTGCCAGAGTTGTACAAATGATGGTGCGTGCTTAGTCTGTGTTGATGCAGCACCATCACTTTTTAGGGAAAAAAAGTATAAATAACCCCTCTTTCTCTGCAGAAGCATCATTTGTGACAGTGACCTGACACTGATGCAAACTGAGGGTATGATTGACCCATCTGGCATGGCAGGCCTGGCCCAGAACTCTCAAGGGAGGGGCTCAGACAGAGCCACCTATGCGTGTTCCAACGAGAGGATAAGGATGATGCAGCTGTGCATAAAATGTGCATATCCTAATGTATATTATGGGTGCCCATTCAGAAACAAGTGTTAGAATTTTGTAACCTGCCTAGAGAACCATTTTGGCTAATGGGTGAGAGAGAAATCAATTAAATAAATAATTTAAATGGAACTATAATGCATGCCACCATAGTAGGGAAGATGTGACCTCCCAGCCTCTGACCTTGCTCAGTCCAACTATTAATGGGCCATTCCAAGCACCAGCTGCCCTCCCTTCTTAGGGTTCTGTATCTTTAAACTGGACTTGGATTGGACAGCTCTCCAAGAAAAGGATACCTTCAGACAGAGCACTTCAAGTGAAGGGCTGCAAGGTAGCACACGTTACCACCCAAGAAACACTTTGTATTCATTGCTCATTTGGGAATAATTTGGTAGATACATCACCAAATATTTTCGTAACTTGAGATGAAAGTCTAGGAAGTCTACACATGACTAATGCATAACTCTCTAGGACTGAATCTAGTCAGGAAACCTACCATGGAACCAATGAGCATCCTTACCTGCGAATATCAGCAGCCAGATGAGATCCCTCCTAGGTTTTCTTTCCATGCAAGATAAAGTTCTTTGAAGCATAATGAGGGCCTGTATGGCTGCAGGGCCCCATTGTGTGGCATATACTGTTTAGATGGACACACCTTATCAATGGCCTTTAAGAAGCATTGTTAGGTGTTTCTGATTGTTTTGGTGTGTATGGGTAATATCTTTTCTATAAAGCTTTCACTAACTCATTTTTATAAAATACTTTTATAAGCTTCAGGCCCTTGGGGCCTACATTCACTGAGGTAGGTAGTCAACTTGTTTCTGGGGCGTACTTAGCACTGAGCACAAAGATCGCCATAGAGAAATTTTGGGTCAGATTTTGTGACACAAGGGGCAAAAGTGGGAAGAAGGGACCCTTCTGCCCACGGGAGCTACCATGTAGCCCTATTCCTCCTACCTTTTGGAGAAAAATGCAGCAAGTGGAGACTACCAGGAGGAGCAAAGGTGAGTTTCACCCCAGCTGCCAAAAGGGGTGACGAAATGGTGTGTGGAAAAAGGAAAGTTTGTTTCAACATAACTGTGCCACATTGGATCGCAAGTGTGGTCATACAAGACTGAATGCGATGAAATTATGAAATTTCATAATAAAATTAGAAAATTAGTTTTATTTAAAAATAAAAATGAAGCATCCACATAGAAAAGCAAATGCTCCAAAGTATACTACTTAAAGCCTAGCATTCGATCTAACATACTAGACGTCTGTGTGCAAGAGGGTTCTTTTTCCTGTTAGAATAGACAAGAGCAGCTGTGGGGCTGCTGCTACAGGGTCCTCCACGGAAGAGCAGTCAGGCTGTCTGTGGGTGAATAGACACTCCAGCAGTGGCCCAGTCCCTGACCATACCTCGGTCATCTGCCACTGGAGACAAAAGCCTCACATTTGCCTGATTGCAGCTGAGGAAATAACCCACAGGTTCTGGGCGGCTTGTCGCCCACTGCAACTAGCCACCATGGACAGGTTCACATGGCACAACAAACCACACTACTGAGGGTCATAGGCTGACACCTCCACCATACCACTGGCACTTACAGGGTAGTTAACAGGCCACTGTGGCTTATTAACCAACATGGACCAGGTCACTGCATCACTATAGAGCCAAACTGGCTATTGAAGAGGACTTTTCAGCCAAGTGAAACCTTACATTTTAAATGGTGCAGTCCAGACAGATCATGAAGAAGCAGGAATTAGATAGATTAGATGAGAAATATTAGGGTTCCTACAGTTCCCAGCAGTATGGCTGGCTGGGGAAAGTTGGGAATTGCAGGACATTTTTCTGTTTAATCCTGCGTAAGACTGTGCCTTTAATGACTATATTTTTAAAATACTTTCAGTATTTATTAACTGATTGTAAGCACGTATATTTTAAACTTTAAAATAATAAAAAATCTTTTAAATATGAAAAGACATACTTTAATCTGCCTGATTTTAATATCTTCCCAAGGGGGCAGGGGGAAGAGAGGCTGAACTGCACCACTTCACTTGTTGCAAGAAATAGAACGCATCGATTGCCATTCCATATTTATGCTTAGAAATCCAGCTGTATGTAGTTTTCTGGTTGTGTACTTTTGAACTTTTTCAGTACATATTAACTGCATTTCTTTGGTTTCGTTACATACAGGTTGTGGAGCAAATTTCACTGCTCCTTCAGGTCGCATTGTATCTCCTAATTTTCCCAGCCAGTATGACAACAACTTGAATTGCAATTATATCATAGAAGTGGACCCCCAGTCTGTTGTCATCTTGACTTTTCAGATGTTTGATCTGCAGTGTAAGTGCCAGAGTTTTGAATTACATACTTCAATCCTTGGTGTCTAAATGTTCATTCTGATGCCACTGTGGAACTTACTTCCAAGCCTTTCAGATGCATCTAAAACAAGGATATGGAACTTAGGTTCTAACTTAGGGCTGAGGTCTTCATACATGGATACCTGCACATACACACGTGCATACCTAAGTTCTTGTGTGTGCATGCACGCACACACATTGTTCCCCCTTTTGTCCCAGAAGCCTGGCTTAGAAGCCAAGCTTTTCAAAATATAATGCTAGTTTTTGTGATGATGGCAACACTGCATGAAAAAAGCCTTTAAAATGTGAATTATGTACGAGATTTAAATTGTTGAACAAAAATGTTATTAAGTGGCCTTAGCAATTTCTAGAAAGATATGTGATGACAGCAGCAAGTTTGGGAACTGCTGCAGTAGAAGATTTTTCTTTTTACTTTGCTCTTTAGAAGGCTTTCAGTGCCATATGGCTGTGCGAAAAGCATTGCTTTTTAAATGGAGCTCTGAAGGATGATGGCTTACTCATGTTATGTTTCAAGCGTGAGTAAATGTGTCTTGGCCCCCTGCAAATGAGAAGGATATTTTCAAGGAACACATAGTGCCACTGGTACTTAGTTGACATCCAACTCAAGGCATAGAAGAGCCTTCCTGAGAGATGATTCACTCCTCTTGGCTTGTCTCTCTATTTTGCAAGTCAGAAACAACCAGACTATTGTGTTGGCTGTGGCACCCTGAGTTTTCATTTGTTGGCTTGCTTTTTGTTTATTACCAGACAGGAAGAGAAAGGAACTGCCATTCTGAAGCATTCAAGAATGTTTTCCCACCTGTTATAGCATCAGTCATATCACTTTTTAAACTCTAATCAAACTGTTTGAGCAAAAGAGAGAGATGGTTTCCAATAGATTATCCCCCTCCCCACTTTTTTAAACTCCTTGCCCTCAATGCAACCTAATATGCTTTGCACCAGTGGTGGGGAACCTCTGGCTTCTGGAGAGATCAAGAGAGACCCCTTCCCCAAGCTCCAGGAGGGGGAACCACACACTAAAGAGAATTCCTTCCTGCTTTGACAAAGCACAATCCTGTGTGTGTCTATTCAGAAATAAGTTCTGTTGTGTTCAATAGGACCTTTTTCCAGGTAGCTGCATATATTTTTGCAGCATTGCTAATTTTCACTTAAACAGAAGCACTATGTGCAAGGGGAGTTTTGGGATTCAAAAAGAGCAAAGTGTTGAACTTCCTGCAAAAGTGCTCCAAGAAAAAGACTGTTGCTTCTCTTGATCAGATTGACCTTCTCAGTATGTTTCCTTCAAAGGAGATACATTAGGTCTGCTCGCTTCATGGGGTCTAGTTAATAGTACAAGTTTATGCTGGGAACAGAACCTCATGACTTGGGCTTGCATCGGCTCCCTTCCCGGCCACACGGTCATATGCGCCTTCTCCTCTCACCATGCCCACAGAGTGAGTGAGGGCATCTGAGAAGCAGAAGCACTTGTGCCTCGTTTAGATGCATGGTTCCAGTTTTCATGGAAGCTACCTCTGCAGGTTTCTGTGGCCCAGTTATCCATGCTCAACAGATGGACACATTTGTTATGTGGAGTCCCTTGATGCATAAGGAGGTCATGTTTCAGGTATCATTATGCCATATTGGAACTGGCTTGTCAATAGTAATCTCTGATTGTGTGATTAGTTTGAGTGTGCAAACTTCTATCAACTGAATTCCCAACCCTGTAGGTGGAAAGAATTAACTTAAATATGCAAGTGGTTAGAGGATGGGCAAATTGACAATTCCATGAGACATTGATGAATGATTTTGAATTTCAGCTTATAGTGCCGTAGCGTATTGCCCATACGATGGAGTGAAGATCTTCAAAGGGAACAGAGTAACTTCATATCCTGTGGAAACATTTTGTGGCAATGACATTCCCAATCCTGTCAGCATCTTTGGATCCACCCTGCTGAACTTCTACACAGATTCTAATACTGTTGGCATGGGATTTTTGGCCACTTATACAGTAATCCGTGAGTAGTCATAAATATAGCATTTTGCTAATGGAAACAGTGTGTATTTGTATGCAAAAGGCTACCAAATGCTGCTCTGGAGGAGAGATAACTAGTCCTTATGGGTTCTTTCTGATGTGGGGAAAAATTTGAACCCAGAACTTTTCAGAGCAATTGCACAGAGGATAATTTGAACTGGGATCAGAAGTGAATATTTCAGGCAGGGAAAGAACCAAAAGGACTGCCCTGAGACAGTCTTGTCCTTTAGCTCGAGGAGTTCATCAAAGGCATTATTTTGGCCTAGCTTACTCCATGGTCCTTGATACTGGTGAATATTTAAGAAACTTGCTCTATGTTTGCTCTGGGAACAGGTATGTGAACCCCCATTTCACTTATCAAGGAAATACTAGCCTTAAAAAAGAAAACCCTCATTGCGATATCCTTAAAAAATTGCCTAAAAGCATGGAATCAAGTATCTTTGTTCACAATAAGTCACTCTGATAGTCACTGGCTAGACAGAATAACATTGAAGGGTGACAATATTCATTCACTCATGAAAGAGACCTTCATAACTCATTCAAGTTGGCTGCTGCTGTCTGACCTTTGACATCTGACATTTGTGGAGTATGACTACAGCTTTTTATTAGAGTTTTTGGCCCATCCAAAGCAGATTCTAGCAATTAACATTCTGTTTCCATCTAGCTTTATCCTTTGCAAAAGACCATCAAAAAAAAAAAAAAAAAAAAAGGAGGGGTACGGGATACTTTTCTTTCCCTGCTTACCATGAATGCTGCTTTTTTATCTTCTAGTTTTTTGTCTCTTGTTGTTAATGCTCTGCAGTGCTGTGCTTGATAGGCCCCCATCCTAGCTGGAAATGGAGGAGAGCCTGGGCATTCATTGTCCTCTAGAGAATGTACTTAGTGCTTAATGGGATGACTAGTCCTTTAGAACTTGGGCAGCACTGGGTTGGAGCCATTTGTCAAGAGGGCCCAGAGAGGTTGCTTGCCAAGAGAAGACTATAAAGCAGAGCACAATGGTGGTCACAGATGGCTTTGCAAGGAGTTATGAACCAGAGGATAAAAGCAAAACCACCGCTCAAACTCAGCTGCATCCATTATGGGAAAATAAAAAAGATACTTGAATGTGCTGGCATTTCTTCTATTCTAAATTGCTAAGAAGATCTTGAAGAGGACCTTGACTTTCAGTCTGAAGGACTCTTGCGGCAATTATGAAACCATTCATCTATCCTCCCCTCTAAAAACTTAGAATATCCTTCATCCAATGTAACAGTTTTATTCATTGAAAAATCTTTCCAGGAAGTAAGTAGGGATGAAGCGAGCAATCATCTCTATCAACAAACACTTCAAGCAAATGACTACATCATCCCACATGAGCCTACCTGGACCCTGTGATTACTTGGCAAAACCTAGTTTAAATAAAATAAATAGATGTTTTATTAAAACCCTAGGTTTTATTGTAGTTTTACATTTTTACTTGAAGCCACCTTGCATGGTTCAGTTGGTGGACTAGGATAAGGTGGGATATACTTCTTCTTAAAACAAATGGTGTTGAATATGAACTGAGTTAGTAGCACTTAGTTTTGGCTAAAAATCATAACTAACTTGTCATATTCATTTCAGTGGGACCTAAGTGGAACTAACTTAGCATGTGACCCTGTGGGTTGCAACCTCATGTGACACAAGTTTTCACATTCAGAGGCTTCCATGTACCAGGTGCTTCACATAGCAGAAGGAGTGAAGAAGGTGCTTTTCACCTTTCTGTTCTCACATTTTACTTTTTCCTCTAGATGGGCCTCCACATTCGTCTAGAGAGTGTAGACCAGTGAGGGCAGGAATGGGTCTGGAGATGCCATAGGATTGCTTATGTCCTGGCCTCCCCTGTGCTTCTTCACTCCGCCTATGCATTGGCACACCCTCTTTCTGACCTCTCTAAGGCCACTTTTACGTCTGTGGGAAGCTGCCACTTTCAGTTCCTTCCATGATGGGCACAAGGGGCCAGGGAAGGTGTTGAGTGGAGGGGTCAGATCCTGGAGTGCCTTAGCTGCCCGAACAGCAGCTGCTGTCTTGGGAGGACAGCTATGACCCTGTGGTCTTAGGACACTCTCCCACCGCCACTGAATTGCTTTTCTAGCCTGGATTCAATGCCTGGTCACCCCTGCACATGGCTTTTAGCAGGACATGGTTTTCTTCTTTTTTCTGCAAATGGATTAGCATAGTTTATTAGAATTTATACTGACACTTTTGCTGTTGAATGGATAGATAAAAGCTTCCTGACCAGTTACCAACAAAGTAGAGCTGTGTTCACTAAGTTTAACTTAGACAAAGACAAGTTAGTCTTTAAGCTAGACTCCTAGACAAAATAAGTTTGTTTGTTTGTTTGTTGCATTTCTATGCCATCCCATAGCCCAATGGGCTGTCTGGGTAGCTTACAACAAAACAGGGAAAACAAACAATAAAACAACAGTTAAAAGCATACTATCCAATTAAAACAATACAAAAAATAGCAATCAGCAAAAATTACAGCACGGCACACAGTAATAGAAATTAAAACAATGTTAAAACCAATAGCTACTAAAATACCTGATTAAATAAAAATGCCTTTACCTGGTGCCAAAAAAGTAGCAGCAGCAGCACCAAGCACACTGCCTGGGAGAGGGTGTTCCATAAATGAGGTGCCATCACACAGAAGGCCCTTCTCCTAGCCAGTTTCCCCATCACTTCATAGGGAATGGTTCATGGAGAAGGATCTCAATCCAAGATCTTAGTGAAGTATATATGTTATGCATGTTTCCTGAATAGTTAGGACAGTCTTTCCTTCGCTTACCTCTGGCTGTTTCTGCTTCCCACTGCAGCTTGTGGTGGTGTTTTCCAAGGCTCCAGGGGCACAATCAAGAGCCCTACCCATTCCTTCACTGAATATCATCACAATATGAACTGTTCGTACCACATTACTGTCGGAAATAACAAGATAGTGGCACTCAAGTGAGTAAGTCATTGGATGTTGATACAGCGCTGATCTTGGGCTTTTAAAGCTTCTATAATAGAAGCAAGCCAAGACGAATGACAAAATGCAGCTCCAGATAATGATGGGGAAATGGCTTTGCAGTGGCAGCTGCGTCCATGCCTGGGAACCTGTCACTCCTGCTCTGCACAGGGAAACCTGTTGAGGAATCCCATCCAAGCCAGTCCCCAGCAGAGCAGCTGAGTGGCATTTCTGTGGGACAGTCGGGTTGCACTGGGGTAATAAAGAAAACTCTAGAGGGTAGTTGCAGGGGCTTCTGCCTGAGTACCTGGGCTGGGTTTCATTTCTGTGGGCACATGAATGGAATCCTGGGATCTCAAATGTTGCTCATTCACCCATTGCATGTGGAGCAGTTTCCAGTGGAAAACTGGCATGTAGGGAAAGGGTTGAGAATCCTCCCTACACACACACGGGGGGGAGGGGGTACCAGTTGTCTACTTTAAACTGCCGCTTCCATGGCCAGGACCAACCTGGGATGTTTTGCTGCTTGAGGTGGAGCAGGAGATAGTGCTCAGCCCACTACCCAAAGTCAAGGTGCAGAGGACCCAAATCCAGCCAAGTAATTTTGACACATAGCTAACAATTGCCACAAGCCCTTCTCCCCATCCATAGCAGTCAAAATACAACAAATTGGATCACTAAAAATGCGCTGCCCTTCCACAACACCTGCAATCAGCAGCCTGAGGCAGCAGCGTTGCTCTCCTTGATGATGGCAGGGCTGGCCCTGTGAGGGGCTGCCTTGTATTTCTGCAAAGCCCCCTAAGAGAGATTGTGTGATGATACCATTCCACTGGGCATTGCTGCACTGAAGCAGTGGCTCACTGGATCTGGCTATCTGTACTGTAGTAAAAAATCAAAACAGAACAAAACAAAATCCCACCCTGATGGCGATTCACTTCCATCTATTTCCAAAGCCACAACACCTGTCAGCTGACGTGCTGGTCAGTGCTATGCAAGCATACTCAGAAGTATGCGCCGTAAGGCTCATCTGAATGTTAGGCTAGCATGTTTATTTGCAAGTCAGTGCCATTCAGCTTGGTGGAACATACTTGTGAATCAACTTTTATTCTTGCATAATAAACTTGCAAACCACTGGGATGTTTTGCAGTTACACACTTTCCTTCATCTGCAGAGCCTCTCACATTAGAAACCATGCATTGCTTAAAGCTAAGTCAGAACGGCATGGCCCTTGCTTTCATGATGTCCAGCTATTCAACCTGTAACTGTTGTGGTTCTTTTTCATAAGCGTGTGTGTCAGTAAATAGACCTAAAAGGATCTGGCAATACATTTCACAGATTCAACCACTTCGACCTTGAAGCCTCCTCGTCTTGTTACAAAGATTATGTTTCTGTGTATGATGGCCCAGACATCACTTCTCCACTGCTTGGGAAATTCTGCGGCACAGTCCTTCCTCCTTTCATCAAGAGCTCCTCAAATGATTTACTCCTGGTGTTCAGGACAGATTCCTATGAAGCAGCCGGCGGGTGGAGAGCTTCTTTCACAGAGACAATAGGTAAAGTGACACCCAGAGGAATCGATCCTAGCATCTTAGATACGAACTACCTGTTATGAACTGGCATGAGATACGGGGGGTGGGGTGGGAGCACTGGCTGCATCCCTTGGACTCATTTCACAGTCCCTCTGCAAGTCCAAACTTCTCCTTCTCCCAGGACCCTACTGGGTGGGAGGAGGGCAGCTGCACGCATTTGGAGCCCTGGCCCCACTCGCTAGCAACATGGATCCCACCATGGATTCCCATCAAGAGAATGCAGGGCAACCCCCGGAGTTTAATGGGGGAGATTTCTTATGCATGCATGATAAAATACTCCCAGCCACTGAACTGTCAAATCTTACATTCTGTAAAAACAGGTAAGAGTCTTGTGGCAGCTTAATATTCTGTACCTTTCATCAGAGGCAAGGAATATTCCAGACCCTGAGGTTTATATACTGCACATTTGGTGGTGATGGTGGGACAATTGTAAACTGTGAGTTGAGAAGGAAATTAAGTGCAGAAGTGATAATAGCAGTGACCATTCACAGTGCAGTTGTTGCTATTACAGGCTTCCTGAATGGATAAGCCAATTCACACATGCACGGGTTTTTAAAAATTCCTTTCCCCCAACTCAGGCCTCCAGAGACAGAAGTAAGCCTGTTCATGAACTGGTAACTCAGTGGTCTCCCCCTTTAATCTTCCTCTGAAGCTTCCTTCCTTCAGCTTAATGTAAGAACATTTAAGAGCCCTGCTGGATCAGACCAGGGGCCATCAAGTCCAGCCTTCTGAGCACATATTGTCCAACCAGCTGCCCACGGGTCCCTTCAGAACAACCTGCCCAAGTTCCCCAGCAACTGAAGCACAAGGCATACTGCCTCTGATACTAGATGTGTCCATTTCTCCACAATGGACTACTGAGGACAGTGACAGAGTCTCCTGGGAGGCTGAAATGTTGCCCCACTGATTTTTTAATACTGCCCTTTCGGATGCCATACCCACAAACATTTATTCTGCTTTGTTGCGTCTCATTGGCGCAGATACATTATTTATGGAAACCTAAATTATTCAGCAACAGTGCCTTAGTAGATTTAAACCAGATTTATGGCACATGTGAAACTATGCAAGAATACAGATCTCTTTTTTTAAATGTTCTCACTGGTTATGAATACTTAAAATCAATTCTATCTAATGCTAAGGATGCTGACGTTTCATCTACACCTCTTGTAATATTTGGATATATCAAAATCAGATGAAAATAACTACCTTTACAAATTACCTAACATGTTTTCCATAATATTCTTCTTCTGATAATTTAACTTTTGGGGGAAATCTAATGCTTAAATGTTTGTGAAGCCTACGTTCCAGATCTATTGATGCAGAAAGTCTGTATATTATAATGGAAACATATTCTTACACTGAGTCATTGCAGCCCCACCCTCTCTCTTAACCCCCCCCCCCCCCCCGCAATAGCTGTTTTTCATTTGTTACAGTCTGGGAAAAAGAAAAAAAAAACAGAAAAGTCAAGGGAGTATATCTGAGCACTATGTTCTTTACCAGGAACCAGATTCCCACAGTTCTCCTCTGCAATTACTGCCATGCTTGCTTTTGTAAGGACTGCAAATGTCAGATGTGGTCCATCTATTCTCCTGTAAAATAAGACGAAGACTTTCATTCCCTGCTAGTGACTGGATCCCTATTTTAAAGGATTCGTCCCTTTCTTCTGGGTGTTCATACTGGACTAAAAAAAGCTGATTCTGTCCCGAAGGTGGCAGCCAATTTGGAATAGTTTTCCACCCATTCATTATTAATGTTTGAAAGCTTAAAGAACTGTAAGTGTTGTTTTACAACACTTCGTGGCTATTTGGGAGCCAATTTTTTCCATTCTGAGGATCCTCTTCCTCACATAAAATTTGAAGGATCTTCAGTCCACAGATCTAATCTGGGCATGAGGTCATGGGGGAGCTGGGCTGCCTTGCCTCCCTAAATTTTCTCTGACCTTGATTCCATTTTTTTTACAAACAAATGATTTAAAAGGTTGACAGGAAACCCACGCTGTATGATGCAGGGCTGGGGACACTGGAAGACTCAGTAGGTCCTGGGAGGAGCAGCCATTCTTTCTAGCATTAACCAGTGTCCTTTGCCCCCATGGTGAGGAGGGATGCTCCGTAAACCCCCAAATTAGGGGGAACCCCACCCACAGATACCCTCTAGCCAGCAGAGGGTCCCATGTGGCTTGATCCAGGCCGCTCACCTAAAATTACTTCCTCATCCCTGTAATCTGTATGTCTCAGCTCGGCAACTTCTGAATTCTTCAGTAGTTTAAAATGCGTGTGGTGGAGATGCCAGAAAAGCTCTTATAGAAAAGTGATTTCTACTGGCAAATCCATGGATTGGATGTGAAAATGTGCCACTGTGTTTTGGATTCTGTCTTCCCACCCCAATACACAGATGATCGCCTACTACAACATAATTTGCCATGCCATCTGGAAAAAGCTGTATTGTTAGTGCTAACCAGAAATTGATTCAAAAACATGGTTTTTAAGCCTACTTTAAATCCACATTATGAGGCAATTTCTTGCTTAGTAAAGCTCTTCGTTTCCTTTCTGTCCTCTTGTTCACTACATTGCTGGGGTTTCATAGGCCTTGCACTGGATGAAACAGTCATGCACAGAAGAGAGTATTTACAAATGAGCCACATTTCCATCTACTCCATCAGAAGGAAAACCCCAAGAGGTTTTGAATTAGCACAGCATCCACATGGCAAATCTAAAACACAATTCTTCATTAATGTACATCAATGAGAACATTATTCTGTGACTATTAGTGAGGCAAAATTGGGTAATGTGATTATAGTGTTCTGCTTAATGTTGTTGGAGACCCTAATTAACTTTAGAAGGGGATGAACAGAAATTGTAAACTCATTTGGAGTAATCTAAGTATCGCTTATTTCCTTCTTGCAGAAATGTGTCCATTTTCGTTAGTGGTTGCTTAGGATTTCTGTAATGATTATGTCACCCAAAATGATTATCCCTCTTTCATCATTTTTGAATTTGACTGAGAGAGTCTCAGTTTGTTGATCTAATTATCACATTTCAGGAAAACAGCCCAATTTTAATAAAAATAGCTTCTTGGTATTTTGGATTCATATCAGCAGGTCATTGTTTCACAGATCCAGCATGGAACCACAAAATCAGTGGTTTGAGTTTTATATTTTTAGAAATAAGCTCCCTTGTGTTTGATCCTGTAGAATAAAAAATACCATTTTGAACAAAACTGATGATTCAGCTTAGCAAATCACTTGATATTGTGTTAATCAGACTGGCCTAGGGCGTTTTTGGTTATAATTGAGGATAATACTATATTATCCTCCATCTGAAAGTCTCTGTCCAACTAAGATATCTGTGATTTAACACTGATTCCATAATTGAATTTATGGTATCAAATGGATATGGAACTTTTCTCTAGAACTTTAGTCTTCTATGTAATCAGGACTGATGCCATTACACGTTTCTCATCACAAGATGCAATCCTATGCACGTTTACATGATATTAAGTCCCAGTGTAAAGTTAGGAAAAGTCAATGGCAGAAGAAGAAGAGGAAGACCAAACATACAACCTGGGCTGGTTCCATAAAGGAAGCCATAGCCTTGAGTTTCCATAGCCATAGTCAAGGCTAAGGCATTTTGGAGTGCTTTCATTTAAAGGGTCACCATAAGTTGGAGATGACTTGACAGCACATAACAAGTCCCACTGAGAAGAGGGACTTGCTTCTAGGGACACAATCAAAGAATCTAAGCATCTACATAGTTATTTGTCTAGTAAATCTCACCACCAGTTTTCAATGACACACACTTGTTTTTCTTCGCTGTATTTTTCCTAGCTTATATAGCATTATCCATTCCCTGTATCGACAGAAGACTTATCACACAACCTCCCTTGCACACTCCCACCATGTCTTATCATTAGGCTTTCTGCAGACAGTTTGTAGAGGGTGGTTTGTTTTCTCCTTAACATGGGACAGTGTGATGCAGTGGATGAAGTTCTGAATCTGCAAGGGCAAGCCAGAGCTCCAGGGGTCGGAGTACAGCAGCTACTGAGACCTTTGTGTTTTGGGACAGCCCTGCACCAGTGACCAGTTGTTACGACTCATGGGAAGGCCCTGGGAAAGCTTGCTGGTTCTCCTCTCCTTTGCTGCTTGCTTTCCAAGTGCCAAAGGAAATATTCATTAAAGCACGTGTATGCGTGCTGCGTTCTTCTATTCCCTTATAAGTGTGCATAGCCCTGACTTGGACAGAGACGGTTATACTTTGGAAGAGCAGAATTTAAGCTTTTCTTCCATCTATTTCTCCCTCTCGCACCTCCACAGCAAGGCTAAAACAAAAAGAGAGACATGCCTCTGCTAGCTAAGTTTTTGCTTTTCTTTTTAATCCCCCCACATTGGGATGGAGAATTTCACGGAGAAAATATGGGTGAGTGAGTTTAAACCTCTTCTGCCCGAGTACTCTAGTCCTATTCTGAATCAAGGATGATCGGTGGTAGGAGGAGAGAGGGTGGAGACATGAGACACAGTCTTGGCTATCTGACGAACTTTGGCTTTTGCCCCAGGATGGCCAGATATAGCCCTGGCCTTGAGGTTCTGCATCCCTGAGCCAAGGGGATAGAAGTATGCTCTGTATGTGTTTGCATGTGTGGTGGGAACTGAATTAGCCAGTCAGATCCTTGGCTGAAAATGTCTCATTCTCAGTTAACTAGATTACTTGGGGGCCAGATCAATCTTATTCTCATTTATCCACCTCTGTCTTTGAGTCTGGTGCTGGTGATCGTTGCTGTTTTTGATATTCTGGGCCATTTAGTTTAACACTATGGATGTGAAGGGCCAAGAAAATGTATCAGTGCACGGGCTATTGATAAGTATATTTGACTTGGCATGCTTTCCTTCCCTGAGATCTGTTTATAATTAACTGCATGCATTTTCAATTATCTTCAGGGGGTCTGAATGGGTTGAATGCTCTGTCTTAACT